AGACAAATGTCATTTGTAGCTAGTAATCGCTCCATACTCAGATTCAACAAAGACTGTAGTGTGACTCAGGAGCCCTTTATTTGCACATTTGAAGACATTAGGGGATAAGCAATTGTATGGAGGTAGGTAGGATGGTGTGATTATTCCAGTAGTACTGGGAAAAATCCTATTTCATATACCATTTTACAGATGAGGATATTAAGGCATCATCTACTTAAACTTGTCAAATCACATAAAAAGTGGCACTGAGGAACTTTTAGCATTTTTAGCATGTTACATCTTCAAACTAATTTTTGTTTTGTTTTGAAGATAGAACTCATGGGGCACTCCATCATGGAGCTACCCACAGCCCTTTCCATTTTTTATTTGAGACAAGGTCTTGCTAAGTTGCCCAGTGTCTTAGTTACTTTTCTCTCATTGCTGAGACAAAATATCCAATACCCACAAGTTAAGAGAGGAAAGGTTTATTTAGCTCCCAGTTTGTGAAGGTTTCAGTCCATAATGGGTTGGCTCCAAGGCAGGGTGGCACATGGCAGAGGGGCAACAATTCAGGTGGCATAAGGCAGCAAAAGCAACAAGGAAGAGAAAGACCAGCTTCTTTCTCATCTATAGTGTATCCACTCTACGGGAGTAAGGCAGTGCCAATCCAATCAATGAACTGATCCAGCAATCACCCACCCTTAACTTCAGCACCCTTAATCCCACCATTGCACTACAAATCAACCATACATTCTAGATTCAGCCACCTCTGAAAAAATCTTGAGCACGGAAGGTCACAAATCTAACATCCAGGCTGGCTTGGAACTTGTGATCCTTTTCCTTCAGGCTCCTGAGTAGCTGGGATTGCAAGCACAAGACTGTCCTTATTTACTCTGTTGATAGAGACTTTCTAACCATCGGTAGCTTCCTTAGGTGCAAACCATGCACTTCAGTTCTGTCAGCAATTTGAAGATACCTTGGAACCTAACACTCTGGTGTTCCGGAGGGAAGACGTGTTATTTTGCATGTAACAGTTGCTTCAGTCCGTGCATTATTGTGACATGGGAAGGCAGACATGTGAGTTTTCATGTCTGACCTAACATACATTATGTACCTCCGGTATAAGACTGGCTATGAGCATTTCCTCTTCCACATACCCAGAAAAGGTAACAAGGAAATTGCAGCCTGCTTTCCTATTAAAGGAAACCAAAGAATTGATAACACGTTAAGAATTCCAAGAACAGGTTCTTTTCAAAAAGATTCCGCTTTTTTCTATACTCTGCTGCTTCTGGAGGGAGAAAAAGTCAAGAATGAATATAGCAACTTCAAGATGGGTAGTTGATTAATTACACTCACTTTCTGTACATTCCTGAACCCAATCTAAACCCTCTCCTGGTCTTACGTGCTTCAAAAAAGTAAAGATAGAAATCAAGTCAATCTTGTTCAAACCGACCAATGTTGATAAGAGCTTATAATTAGGGAATGGATTCACAGCATTTTGAGATGAAATGTCGATGTATTTCCCAGGGTGGTCTCAAAGTCATGGGTTCAAGTGACCCTCTTGCCTCAGCCCTCCAAATAACTGAGACCACAGGCACACACCACTGTGTGGGAACCACAGTACTTTTTTTTGTGGCTAGCAGAGGTTACTGACGCTGGTAGACTGCAGTTACAACAGCCACTAGCTGATAGTCATCAAAGATTTAGGAGACAAAGGGTTCTAGTTTCAACAAAAATTCCTATCTGTGAAATAAGAAGCAGCTAACAAGATTTCTGTGCTTTTTTTCTATTTTATGATTTTACATAATAAAAAAGTGGTAACATCTATTCCAGGTCATCTCCCTATAAATGCCTATGAAAGGGATATTATTACTTGTATTTTAAAATTAGGAAACTGGAGCTCAAAGACCTGAGTAACTCCCCTAGCTTATTGCTAACAGGCAAAACTAAGTCATTGTCCAAGTACACATGGACATGTTGAGATGCATGCTCTTATGTAGTACTCGAATGCATTTTTATCTTGGGGGCAGTGTTTGGGATTGAACCCAAGGTCCTACCCATGCTTCTCAAGTACTCTACCACTGAGCTACATCCTCAGCACAATGTTTTGAAACTATACTTTCCACACTGGCCTCAAACTTGAGATCCTTCTGCCTTAGCCTCTCTAAGTAGCTGGGATTAATACTGCATATCACTGTGCCTGGTTTCAGTTCCCTCTCCCTTTTTATTTACTTTTTTGAGACAAGGTCTAAGTTGCTCAGGCTGGACTTGAATTTGCATTCCTCCTACCTCAGCCTCCCAGAGTGCTGGGATTATAGGCATGCATCACCATCCCTGGATAACTGCTTTACTGTTGACCTTGAACGAACGTTTGGACACTCAGCTCACAACTGGTGCAGTGAGGGTGCCACAGAAATAAATGAAGTTTCCGCACAGTGGGCAGGGCTCTTTTGATACACAGGACATCCAATGGTCTCTAAAGCAGTTTCTAACAGTGGCTGCACTGGAGCCATCACCTGGGGAACTTTAAATGACACTGCAGCCTGGCTTCCACCCTCAGCTAAGTGAGACCGTTCTCAAAATGACACATTTTAAAAAGGGATGGGGATATAGCTCAGTGCAAAGACTTTGGGTTCAATTCCCTAAAACCTCAAAAAACATTTTTAAGATCAGAACCAGTATCTTAATGATGTGTATAGTCTGATACACATCAGACTTACATCGCTGATGTGTATTAATTTAATTCGTTAGCCTTTAAAAAAAAAAAAACTCCCAATTGGAATACAATTAAGCCACATATCCCTCAATGTCAGGTTCTCAACAGAATGCTCACTTAAACCTACTGGTTATTGGTAAATTGACTCTCACCTGCTAGACTTTGTGATAACTAAAGCAGTCCACCCTGACCCTGCAGTGTGAGATTCTGGGCAGATGTTCTAGAAGGATGAATAGTGGGATATTTTGTCTGACTTCTCCCAACATGGGTCTGTCTCCTGCCCCGGCGCAGGCAACAGAGCTGAGAGGGCCCAGAGAAAGGACAAAGAACATTGAAACATTTGCTGGCTGCTACAAAAATTGCACTTCACTCCCTCACTCCAGCTTAATCAACCATTATCTGGTCATTTTTGCCCTTTGTGACACCTGGCCCACCCTCACGTTGGGCTGGGCTGATTTTTACTGATTTGTTTCACACCTCGTTAGTTTTTAGAGGATTAGGCCTGCATCCCTTTGACTTTCTCCCTGGATGATGTGTGCTGAGTATGCATCAGCAAGACAGGGCCTCTGCTCTGTGTAAAGAACTCCCACATTTTACCAGTGGGAGGAGATGCCTTCCTCAGGCTGGCAAAACCTGTTTTTTAAGGTATGAGAGAAGGAAAGATCACACTTGTTACTCACCAGAATCAGGCTATGCAGGAAAAAAAAAAAAAAAAAAAAAAAAAAAAAAAGACTACTGGCTTGCGACAGCTGCTCTTTCAAAATCCTTCTGAAAGTCAGTTTTCCCACTCTTTGATGTTACATCACCTTCTCCCCAGGGCAAGTAGTTGGACCTAATCTTCTGGTCTTGAAGAACGGCCTTAATCATTCCCTTTAAGCTACTCAAACTGATCAAACCTCTGCATGTTTTCTTAGCCCTGGAATATGCTAATGTGGAATCTAACCACCTACACTGTAGGTCCTACAGCATTTCCCTTTTCTTTTTTTAAAACTGAAGTTTCAAGCCATTTGTCCTCCCACAATGTCCTTCTGTAACTTTGTATCTTGGTAAGATGTTTTCACTTAAAGGAGAAGCCTTGGTCTTATCCCTATTTCCCTGGTTTGGATAATTAAAAGCATTCCCCATCTATACCCTCCTATATCCTAGAATATTCTCAGCCACGAAGACAGACAAACCACAACTGTGTGTGATCTGCTGTGAGATTTGGGCAACTAATTTGGAACTAATAATAAAATGTCAGTATTTCTAACACTTCCTCGACTATAGAGAGAACATAATATCATCATTTCCTATATGAGTTTTTTTTGCAGGGGGAGACAGGGAAGAGTGGGTGGAACCACAGGTGTCACATAAAGCACTGCCATGACCGTGGGTCAATGTTATTTATGCCATAGTGCTAGTGAAACCACAGCTACTAACAGAAATGGTTATGGTGATTATCTGGGTGAAATAATCAAAGTGGATATACAAACAGGTGAAAAGAGGGTTCAAACCCACTGGCTCACTTTTTTGGATAACAACACCTGTTTTTGAAGAACCAAGAAGGTTAAGACTTATTACCAAGTATAAGAAAGATTATTTCTCAGAATGCTTTACAGACAACATATTTTAGATTGGAAATTTACTCAGCCCAGGTCATGCTAGATTGTCTAAGCACCATACATGCGTTACTTTCTCAGTAAGCTATGATAGTCCAGCTAGAGAAGTTTTACAAAACTGCTTAAATCTACATGAAATGCTTTAGTGGGGAAAGTTCTGACTGGATGATTCTATCAAATCAGCCCTGCTCTGACATCTGACATACGTTCTAAGAAGGAAGTAACTGAGTCATAGGAATTTTTAATTTTTATGGCATGGTACTCTTGCTGAATACTTTATCCTCAACTGGTATAAACCTTTGAAACGGATGAATCAATGCAAAGAGACAGCTTTTAATTTGTGTGTTTTTGTGGTACTGGGGACTGAACCTATGGTCTTATGCTCCCTGGCAAACACTCTACCACTGAGCTACTGCCCCAGCCTTTCTTAATATCTTGAATAGACAACCTGTAAGATCGTTTTCTGTTGTTATAAAAAAAGGAAATTTTAAAGACTTAAGCATTAACAAAACAAGAAATTCAAAAGAGGTTCACACCATTCCTTTTGGGTCCTTGTATCGTTGGTTGATGTAAGTTTATATGGGACATAGAAAATACACAAAAATATTGAAAACTTTTGTTTTGCTTGATGAAATAAATACAATTCAGGTTGTCATACTTTTAGAATACATTCCACATGTAACAAAGCTGTGCTACCAAGCAATGAACACTTTCATAAAAAATTTATTTCACACTTTTATACAAATATCCACAGGTATCTTCTAATCATGAAATAATTTTTACAATGCTAGTTAGTATAAAAATGTATCAAATGCAAACAGACCAGTGACTTGACTTGAGATGACATTTTTAACAACTATAAATTTAAATTATCATAACATTCTTGTTTCTTTGCTGTTAAAACTACCCCTCCCACCCCTCTTTTCAGGACATTCATTTTTATAACAAAGGTCTACAAACACTGTCAAAATACCAGCTTCTTAGTGTGTCCTATAACAAAGCCAGTGTGTTAGGCTTCAATTCACTCAAGGAAGAAACTGAGACTTTGAACACTGTTATGACCTGTTTTAAAGAAATTTTTGTAAACAAAATGCCATTTGCACAATTATTTTTGTGAATAAAACTTCCAAAGTATAGCCAGAATAAGTTCTTAGTATCCTGAAAGTGTAAGATTTGTGAAAAGAAAGAAATATTTTTTTGAAACTCCAAGGCAACAATGACACATACAGCTGTCTTGTTCTTTTAAAAGATACACTGCTTATACTACATTCAAATTAGCACCTGTTTGATGTTGCTCCCCAAATAACTTAATATATCAAAGCACAGTAAGTTGTAAAATTCAACTTTTCTAGCTACTCAGTCTCTATTGAATGTATAGTGACAATCATCTTTCTCCTCCCATCCAAATAGCTTTACAATTAAAACAATTTAAAAGATCTTGTGAAAGTTGTCCCCAAAGTTATTTGGGGAATTTGTATAGGCGAAGAAACAAAACAGAAACAGAACACTGACTCACTGAATGGCTCCAATGACATCTAAAAGTTAAGAGCTATGATGTTCTGCCTGACCAGAACTACGGTTTTGGTAACAGATACTCAGTAGTCTTACAGTGGAGGCGTCAGGACTCACCATCGGCACTCACCAGTTTCTGTTAAGCCCTGAATATATAATATATTTGCAGCAGTGAGTAAACATGTTCCAGAGTTCAAGGAACAAGTCATTTTCTCTAAAAGTTCCTGAAAGTTATAACATGAAATTCAGAAATATCACACAGGTCTCTAAGCTAAAAGGCTATTATCAGATGTCTGATAAGAATTAAAGTTAAATCCTCTTTCTTAAACCTTTTGGGTTGGGGGGAAGGGATGCCAAGAAGGAAATGTTATAATTTACAGATAAGTTATTTAAAAAACTCTTGGATACATTTACAAAGAATTACTATCTTTTGGCAGTAAATAATTTAGGTCAAACTAGTGACCTCCATATTCTAATTCTGATTGCTTCAACCAACATTAAGGATCTTTGGCCTGTTAGTCAATAACAAAATGGTTTAAAGAAAAAATAAATATCATATACAAACAAATATAATTAGCATTCAAGTCTGCTGCACCTGTGTTTTAGTGAAAAAGAGAAGGAAACCTGTGTGCATTTGGCGTGTACAAGGATTCACACATCTAGGAAACAGGAAGAGGGCAGGATAAACAATGTCACCTATTGCACATTTAATAAGACAGCACTTTAAACGGAGACAGGACTGCCCTGACAGCAGAGTCCTCAGCTGCAGGACAGTTAATCTGCAGGTCCTCTGGCCCTTATAGGAATGACGCTTGCAGTGGCAGACAGGGTCGGCCACTCGGTTAGTGTGGTGATCGTGATTCCCTCCTACAGCTACACCACCACGAGGATGTCACCTGTGTGCAACTGGCAGGCCCTTCCCCAGCATGTGTTAAGTCAGCCACGCCAAAAACAAAGGCAACCCAGAAAGTTAAATTAAGGCAGTTAAAGAAAAATCCGCTCCCATAGTCTTCAATTTGGCTGTGCAAAACAGGAGCCGCCTTCAGCTGCGTAACAATATCCACAGTTTCAATGGTAGCTTCGTACTGTGTGTCTTGTTGGTCTGAAATCAAGCTTCATATCGAACAGGCTTTTAAATCCATTTGCACGTCTGAGTTGGGGAAAAAAAGCATTTGGGGTACTGACCCCCCTAAGAGTAACTTTCATTTTCATTCCATTTTGTGATCCACTGTTTTTTTTCCAAGTTATCGTTATATTTTTCATCTTTAATCTCTCGTTCTTCTTTCCGGATCCTTACGGCATAGTATCGGGGAACGCTATCATCGTACCTAGCGCGATTAAAGAATCCACACTAGAGAAGAGGGAAGACAGAGACAGACACAGATTAGTTCATCTCAAGGAAACCAAGTGCAGTAAGTGAAATACCTAAGCTTTCTGTTCAGCCACGTCTACCTTCGGACCGAGGAGAAAGAGGTACGATTTTAAGAAAGCGCTGACAGATTGAAAAGAACAGGCAGAAGAAGTGTTAAAGAACAGTTGTAAAAGTGGAAGAAAAGTTCATTTTCACCTTGTCTTTACATTTCATATCAATGTAAAGTACTCTTTGACTGGCAAGAATCTGAATACTTCCATTTAAAAAAATCGTATTATATATAAAAGGTGTAACTTTCAGATTACTAGATTGCTTTAAGAACAATTTTTAAAGGCATAAATAAAAATTATTTCTTGTTCCTTGCCCGCTAATAAAGTGAAATTGGTCCACAGCTATGTGACAAGTTACTACACAAATAAGCCACCTTTCAATGGGTCAATTTAATAAGAGTCTTCTGTCTTCCCAGGCTTCGGTACACACATCGCATGTCTCTTTAGCTAGAAGGTAATTTACATTGCCTGGATCTGCCACTGTGCTTTTAATTAAACTGTTTCATTAATATATCACAAAGTAATTGCGTCCTGCAATTAAATCAATCATGTATTGCACAGGCCTTGAGGAAAGTATGCTACACTGAATTCTGAGGCACTTTAATTTCTTTTTTTTTGTAAAAAGAAAGGTAACATTTACATTCAAATTGTTAACGTATATATATTTTATTCACCTTTAAAAAATTATTCAATCTGATCCAAAGTATATGTTGAGAGTAAACCTGAAAAATTTGAATCAAATTGAATTTTTTCAAGGAATAAAAAAAATGCTATTGAGACAAAAATATTATCAAGTTAAAGATTCAGGTTGGAAGAAAGGACGATACTTAGAACAGTCAATTAATAGTTTATTTTTGACAGTCAGGAATAGAACACATATGTTGAAATGCCAGGGGGCAAGACAAAAATCATGTATCTACTTATTACTGTCAGCAGGCCAAATGAACCAAGTTTTGTTTTAGGGCATTTGTTGTACTCATTTGTTATTCTATGCAAACACCCCAGTGTACTTATAATTATTACAAAAATGACTGCTGTCTGCCCCATTTATAAAAAGAAGGAAATTAAAAATGGCAATACTGAGATTCATCATGACAGTACCAAGGAACGGGATTATAGGAGTAAACTCCCTCCCTTTATGCTCACAGAAATGGAAAAAGGAACCACCAACCATTACTATCATCATGGAAAAGCAAAATGTGAATTTAAAATCAACTGAGACCCAAGGTGGAATAAAATCTCTAGGAACATGAAACATGGTCAAACTCCATTACAACATATTCAAACAAAAAATGTTCAGTTTTTGTACTAGAAATTTACATACTGAAGGTTACTTTGGTAGATGACCAACTCCTGAAGTTGGGCATAAAGCTAATCATTTTCCGTTGTAATGGTCTTTGGCCTGAAGGAGATATGTAGGAAAAGGAAGCTGCATGCTAAGCTAGCATAAAACAATCTCTGAGCAACAGTAGAAAGCATTCCATGCCTGCACCATCATTTTAGAGCAAGAACAAAAAGATTACAGTGAGGTAGCCTCTTTATCAAGAGAACACATTTCCAACATGCAACAGGTTAATCAGGCAGTCAACACAAGCTTCTATCCCTGAGAAATTCCAAAATGGACAAGAAATCTGGGACGATTTCTTATGCATCCTTGAAATTCCAACTGGGATGCTATATGCTAGATTAACAACAAACTGCGATACTACTGGAGGTCTATAGCCCCCTTTTATGTGTATTATTATTTTCTTCATTGCTATGGGTGTGATTTAACAAGAATACAAAAGAACTCACCTGCAACAAAAGATCCTCTGTGCATTAAACAAAACAACTATGTATTTTCAAGTGAAATAAATAAAATAAAACCAAAGCAAGGCAAGCCAGTATGGACATTTGGCAACATCTGTTAATGGGACACACACAGCAAGCTGTTGCTCTTTACGTTAGCCACCACAACCATAGCAGGTCCCACAGCTAGCAATTAAAAAACATTGATCAATTACCAATTACAGAAGTAGATCAATACTATGCATCAGAAGTAAGCCTCTCTTTATCAGATGGCTGAGCATGGATCTCAGCCTTGTGATATGTGGCATCATAATGATCTTTCTTATTTCTTTTGAAGAAACCACACTACAAAGAAGCAAGGTATTTAGTCAATTTTACAGTTTTGTAGATAAGTGCTAAACAATAGAACACCTCAGATCTTAACCTGTTTTCTATTACACCTCATTTACAAAGAGACCACTTCTGACCAATCAGAAACGAGCAGCCAATTCATTATATTACATTGTGACAGCCAGCACTCCACACATTCTCCTGGTGTTGTCTCTGGTCAAACATTGGTATGCACGGTCAACATTGGTCACCTAATTGACTTTTCTATTTATAATAGAAATCCTAAGGATGAAAATCAACTTATAAAGGGAAAATGTATGTACATCAGGCTGTAGCTTTGGATGGTTTCTTCCTGAAGAATACAAGCTCCAAAAAGGAAAAGATTGACTTCCACAGGCTAGTAAGACAAAGGTTAGAAAATTCTCTTAAGTAAAGTTTACCACAATTCCTAATAAAATATAGAGAGACCATGAGTATTTTTCAACCTTTTACAGCAAATTTGTTCAATGCCATCTACTTGAGACCTTTGAATCTTTAGGGTGAGTCACAACACAAATTCAAGTACACTGTCATGAAAGAATGATTGCTCTCATTTTTCCAAATTCAGAAGCACTATGTAACTCTTAGATGGTAGGAACTCATGTTCCTCGGGTTAGGTCACTCTAAGTAAGTATAAAAGTAATATTCTACTTCTGACTATGATTTCCTTCATTCAACAATGGAGACCTTTTTCTATTTACTTTTACCTAAATCATAAGGCCATTAAACTGTCTTTCGAAATAACCTGGTCAAATAAAATCTCCCCCAGAAAATTCCACCTCCCAGTGTAGCAATCAGTAAGGGCACACTTCCAGATCTACTTTGTATAGCATGGCAGCTACGAGCTACATATGATATTCAAATTTAATTTAAGCTAAAATTTACAAGTTCAGTAACTCCACTGCACTAAGCTGTAGTCCACGTCTTCAATAGCCACACATGATGGGTGGCCATCAAATAGAATATTTTTGCTCCAGAACATTTCCAATATGATAAAGTTTTTGGGGCAGCATTAACAGTGAACACACTTGCTTTCAATAATGTGTTAATAAATAAATAAAATAAAAAGGAGGAAGAACCAGGAACTATTGTCTTGGCCTGTTGCCCAGCTTGACAACATTTTTAATATTCTTAGGCATGAATGTCTTCATCAGTAAAACAGAGGTGATTGGATTAGTACAAAAGATTTTCCTCTTTTATCTCAAAAAAATCAACCAAACAAAACAACCAACCAAAAAAACCAACAAAAATCCTGTTCAAAAGCCAGTATTTAAAGCAGATAACATCAGAACTTCTCTAGTTAAATTGGAGATTCCTTAGTTTTGCCACCTATGAGGATACCCAAAATCCAGTTTCAAGGCCACTGAACAGAAGAATAGAATTCCTTTTCCACCCCCTGTGCTTGGGATTGAATTCAGGGTCCCATGCTAGGCCAGTGCGATATTGCTAACTCCTAAAATCCTTTCTGATCCTAAAATTTCATTATAATTCAGTTTTAGAAGAGTATAAAATATAAAAATGACTTTTATGTGAGGGTTATAGAACTTATCGGGATATTTTAGGTCCCCTTGTGAGTCTGGATACTTAGCACTTCCAAAATCCAGTGACAGCATCTAGTCCAATCCAGTTATTAAACAGCTAAGGTAAATCAGAGCCCCAGGAAGGGCTCTGATTTGCACAAGATTATAAGCAGGGTTGGGTTTCTTAATTCTCAACCCACCGCCCTATGTCTCAATGAGGAATTAAGATTGCCAATCAGATTTATTCTGAAGATTGTCTTTGTGACCTCTTCCAGAGAACACAAGACCATCTTTAATACCAAACACCACATTCAGAGTTTTTTAGTTTTGTCTTTTTTTGGTGGTCATGAGTACTGAGCCTAAGGCCATGTGTATGCTAGGCAAGTACTCTACCACTGAGCCATATCCTTAGTCCTCTGCATTTAGTTTTTGATATCAAAATAATTAATCAGGGAAACTCCTATATCAACTAGCTAGCTTGTCAGAAGTGTGCTGCCTGAGGTAACACACATCGAGGTTAAATCTGGCTAACACTCCATGCCAGGAGAAGCCTTGCTGTGAGCAGAAATACCAGGCTTCAATCACATGTTTGGAGGATACCAGAAAATTATCTCAGATCAACAAAGAGAAGTTACTTTGAAGAGATGGAAAAAAACAAAAACCACAAAAAATTGCCTAATATTTGAAGTAAGAACTTCCTTGAAGCCTTGTCTATTATACCCTTGGATCCAACAACAGGAAAAAGATTGTTTGATTCTAGAAGGTTGTTGGTTCAGCCAAAAGCCTCTGGACCAGATGTTGGGCAGCCCAGAATTCTTGAAATTTTTGAAAAATGCTATGCTACACACATAATGTCACCAAATTAAAAAGTGCTAATATTTCTGCAGTGAAACTAACAAATAAAAAACAAAAACTATAAATATCTTTCCTTAATATTATGTCAGGTCTTGCCACCAAATAGTTCATCACAAACTGTTTTCAGAACTTTTTGGAATCTGGAATTGTAGATAGGGTATGACGGACCTTCCTTATTCTCTTGGAATGATGTGAAATTTATAGTTTATAAATCTTGGCAAATAAAATTTTATGCATCTCATATGTACTTTTTCCATAAAATAGACTATCTACAGATAAATAGGGGAGATGTATTTTATGTATAATCAAAAGACCAAATTCTTATGAGCACATATTGTGTGCAGACCACACTCAACATTTGATACGGGCTAAGACAGTTGCCTCAAGATGGAGTAATTCATTTCGTTCATTTTTTCTATTCCTAATCTAGCTGAAAGTATAACAAACCCCAATGGCTGTTGTGAATGTTCATTACTGAAGTTGAAATTAGCAGGAATACAGATTCAGATTAGTCTGACACTCAATAATTTGGCTTACATTCAGGCTTTTTTTTTTTTTTTCCATTTTTATCAGTACCAGGGATCGAACTCACGACTACCTACTTGCAAGGCAGGTGCTTATGCCGCTGAGCTAAATCCCCAGCCCCTTTTATTTTATTTTAAGACAGCGTCTCTTTATGTAGTTCATGCTAACCTCAAACTTGCAATTCTCGTGCCTCAGCCTCTAGAGTGCTAAGGTTACAGGCATGGGGCACTATGCCTGGATTTAGATCCAGACTTTGACCTTATTTTACAAAAATACTAAAGTCGTAAAATTTAAATGTGTCATTTGTCAAACATCCTGAACTATATGCAAGAGATACCAAAAAGTATGAACTTTAGAAATTTATGTACACCTTTTGTTTTGATTGACTCTATTCTGTTTTATTTCATTTGGTTTTATTCTCTTCAAAATTTAAAAAAAGCAAAAATGTATGTACAATTAAAACATTTTTAAATAGAAATTATTAGATATACAGGTGTTCATTGTAAAATTCTCTACTGTACATTAGAAAAGTTTCATGATAAAATGTTAGAAAAAGAAGGCAATGAGAAAGAAAGTTATACTATTAGTGTTAACTCACATTTTTAAAAACATGAAATGAAATGCTAGGTATGACTTACCTTCCAGAGGACAATCACTAACAAAGCAAGCATCAGTATCCCAGCAAGAATAGACACGAGGATGACCCACCAAGGGATTCCTGAATACTGAGCCACAGTCTTTGAGGGAAACACAGTCACACGAACCTATAAGCAAGGAAGAAAGCACATCACCATAAACTGGGGTTCAAGTAATACGCGGAGTCCGTAATTCTCATTCTGCTTCTGAACACATCTTGGACAACAATGATGAGTTGACTTTCCAGCGGAAGATCCTTTCTCTTATTACGGTACAGGACTCAAGAGACATCTCATTAAGATCTTAAACCAGCATCTAGAAAAAGCTAGTGTGTTCTGACAAAGTGTCATTTCTTTGCTATCTTTTTTGGCCAATTTACTTCTTTCAACAATTATCAATTAATAAGTCAGTCCTGTTTCAACTATATTCATGGTGCTTGGGGTCAAACTCAGAGCTTAGCACAGCCAAAGCAGGCATACTACTACTAAGCTATAGCCCTGGCCCTTAAACTGATATTCCTTTGGAAAATGGCTATATGTTCATTTTTGGCAGTTGGAAGAAAGGGTCAGCTTGTGTACAATTAGACTACAACTCAGATTTTAAAGATGTTGTGAGATATAAAAATAGGGATGAGCTGAATGACTAACTTCTTAGGATATCAAACTAAAGAGCTTCATAAATATGATTCCTGAGATGGCTGGATGCCTGCCATCTTCCACAAAAAATGTGTGAGGATAAACTAGACCCTGGTTTCATTCTGAGGGAATACAGCACTTAATCTGTAGCTGATGAAAAACTTAAAATACCAAAGAGTTGATAGTTGGCAAATAGCAATTAAATATAGTGTTTACCTAGAAACCTAAAAAGTTGCTTCTGGCAATGCAACAACTCAGTTATGTCCCTTCTCATACATTCACTAATGAAGTCTATTAGAATTTTAAATGGACTTTGTAAAGATAGGAGCTGTTTACCAAAGCATGCAAAGACTTAGTGATTGCAACGAATGATGATTTTGTAAACTACACTGAGTCAAGATTTACTAGTTGCAGTTTCTGGTACTTCTGAATTGACAGACATTAAGCAAAGGGCAAATAAAACTCATAAGACAGTCATTAATTTATAAGCAATGGTTTTAATTATTTTATTTTATATTAAGATTGAACCCAGGATGCTGTCTAAACATGCTTCTATATCTACACTGGGGCTTCAATACTTCTAGAATTCTTTTTTAAAAAATCTCATTCAAGTACATCCCTTCCTACTTCTAGAAAAATAGTGCATCACCTTATTGGACTTTCAGAAAATACTTACAAGCAGCAGAATTGCTTTTCTCTAGACATTTAATAGGTAGCTAGGAGTTTACATATGGAGTTTGCAGCGAGCTACAGTGTCTCAGGTAGCCAGCACAAAACCATCACCTTTTATCAGCAACCTGTGCCCTGTTACGCTGTAAATTAGGTTCCCCCGGACCCCAGTCCCAGCCCCAGGTGGCCACCAGGCTTATTCTCTATCTCTTCATTTCCCCCAACAGATATCTTAGCTCTAAGGTGAGACAACCCTTTCTTGAGATTGCTGAGTCCTATGCAGGGCAACCAGACAGGAGGAAAAAGGAAGAAATAGTGAAAATAGAAATAATATACTTATGCAGCTGATAATCTGATTATAATAAAACAAATGACTCCCCTTTGCCAAAGCTGTATCTTGTTTAAATTTTTTCCCCTAGAATGTAGCACATAGTGTATCCTGCAGCACAGACTACAGTTGCAGAGGCTGATCTCTGCAGGGAATCTGCCTTGTTATAATCACCATACATCAGTGCTTTAAAATGATAGGTAACGGGAGAAACCACTCCTATAAACGTCTGTTATCTAAAAACCCAAGGGATGACCAAGGTAATTTCTGATTTTGCAGCCTGGGCAGCTAGATAAGTGGGAATCCAGTAGAATCTCTACAATCCCAGGTCTTGCCATCTCCCAAACCAATATGGTAAAACAACTCACTGTGCATCAAAGACTAAGGACTGAGTCAGAGGCAGGGCTGTCTACACATTTATGGAGGAGAGAATTCTGGGGTCTAAAAGATGAGAGGCCAGTCAGCAAGACTGTAGTGTTTGCTTAAATTGTAATAATAGTATTAGTATTATTATTAATATTTTTATATGACAATCATTCTCCAGCTAAGGTGAAAGGAAGCGGGAAGCTGGCCTTTGGACCAGATAAAGGGACACTTTGACCAATGGTTAACAGCTTTTACTTTTACTAAATGAATGATAACAGCTTTAGGTGAGTAGAAATGGTGCAGACCTTTACAATTCCCAAAATACTTTTTCCTTTGATTTTAGTAACATTTAGGCATCTCCATGGAGATGACCTATGCATGCAGACCTTAGCCACTGTGTGCCCATGAGAGAAAAGGGCTCAAACTCTACCGATGCATTTAATTCCATCGCCAACCAGTACTGCCGAGACCATATTAGCTTGCCAGCTGCCAGAATACTTTTGCTGATTAGTCTAGGATGCCCTCTACTCTTACTGAACATCAGGATACAAAAACTCACCTGACGGGATTTTACTATCTTTTACTTCTCATATTAAAAAGTCTTATAAAAGGAAACATCTTAAATTCTTTCCTGAATTTAGAAACAAAAAAGAAAATCTCATTTCTCTAAGTAATAGAGTACTTATTTTTACCTATTATGTTTTATCTTCCACAGCCAGGAAACTCGCTTCCTATGAACGAAGTGGGGACACACACACAATTAACAATCCCCACTTTCTTGGTACCATTCAACATTTCTCTCCTGGAATACAAAATTCTTAACAAAATATCTCATTCAGTTTTGCTTCTAGCATCCAGTAAAGGGAAGGATTTCATGTGTTTTTAACAGGTACTTGGTAACTGTCTGGATTTAATTTAATAACTGATCTTAAAATATGGTCATTTAACCTGCTTTAACTGTGTGACTTCTGGCCTTGTTAATTCAAAGACTACTAACTTTGACAGTATCTTAAGAAGTGTTTTACTGGGTGGGGATTTCAATTACTCTTGAAATTGGGTAATGAAGAAACAATGTTTTTTTAAAAAGCAGGATTAGAGTAAAGGCAATGAGAAATTGTTTTGATGTTAAGACCAAAAAGAAAGACTGAATGATACTTTGATACTTTGCTTCTATCTTCCAAGAAAATGGTCTTCAGACTGGAAAGGACAAGGAAAACCAAGATGAAGATGAAACTATAACCTGTAATAAGTGAAGACATAAAAAAGAAAGGCTCCCTGATACCTGAATTAAGCTCAAATCTTCAGGCCCAGAAAAACTGCACCTTAAAATACCAAAGAAAAGTACAGGCACGATCCCTGAGCTATTCTATCTCAGAAATCACAGAAAATAGAGGAAGTATCAGAAGACTACAGATAAAGTGTTTCAATTTTCCTCAGAAATAAGTCCTAGATATAAGACTAGTAATCCAGTCACAGATCCGCCAATTATTAAACAAAGTAGGATCATGCTAAAATGTGGCTTCCCATGAGAAGTCTGGAGTTTTCTTAGCCCTAATATTATAAAATGCCCAAGACAACCTTATTCCCACTTGTGACTCAGCAACCAGGAAGGATACTGGGACCTCTGTTCAATCATGTTCCACAAGAAAGAGCATCTGAGGACTCTGGAGACCTGCGATCTGCTATCAGCTCCACTTGCTGGTCATGGGGGTTGCTGTCTCTGAATTTGTGACTTGGGATCACGTGTCACAGAGTAGAGGAACAACATCCCTGAAGTTAGAAAAATATGAGTTTTAATCCAGGACCTCATATCCTATCCTGAGTCTATTTCTTTGTTTGTAAAATGAATATGATGCCTACCTTGATGTTAGGAGAACATGTGATGTTAAACAAACAAAGTATTTAGGAAATTGTGGACATTCTATTAATGTTAGTGCCTTCTTTCTAAAGTGTTGAACTTTTTGCAGCTCTAAAAACTCTGTGATTCTCAGAGTTGCCTCCTTGTAGTCATTAGAAACTGTAGCAACTGTCCATGGCCAGAAATGGGGAGAAAGGAGTCTATGGAGGTGTGGTTTACTTGACAGTCCCTTAGGATGCCTAATAGATGAGGGATGGGCGGAAGCAACTTGCAGAGATAACTGAAAGCCAAGGTGACCGTGTGTCCCAGTGAGCCTGGGATAGCCTTTATTCAAGCCATCCATCTCAACAAATATATTCTAGTTTGGATGATAAATCCAAGGTCATTCTAAACAGCACTGTATTTCAGAAGCCAGACTGATTAGGGAGGTTCGGTGAGTTTTCAGCTACTGAACTCATCAAAGTCAGAACATTTTCATAAGTAAATCAGCTGATGAGTGGAGGAGCAGCAGTCTACTTGGCAAAATGTTCCCATTTGCAATTCCTACTACAACCAGATCCTTCTACCACAAGAGCCTAATGCAAATCTCTGGGGGCCACCAAAAGGAACAGCTTACTAGTGGATCACTACAAAGTCCCGCTCCTTGGTCTGTCCCATATTTTTGTTAATTACTGAATGGAGACACAGAAGGTATACTTCTTGGTTTTGAAAAAGAAATTCTGCACAGATAGAAAGTTGAGACAGCAGATGCTCAAAGACTCAAAATTACTTTACAATATGAAACAATGGGCCAGAAGCAAATCACATACAATGTGAAGATACATTTAAAGACATACATTTAGATTTTTTCAAACTGCTCAAAAACAAGATACAGGAAACACAGCTCAACAATGGATTCTGGTGAAACCACCCAATAAGTTTCAGTAGATCACAACAGAAAGAAATTGAAACATACTGTTTCATGTTTGAAAGCCTCATTTCAGGCTGGGGGAGTGCTGATATGGTGAGAGTAAAGGCTCAGCATAAGGTGAACTGAGAAGAGCACACCTCAGTCACCTGGTCCATGTGGGATCACACCACCCAGAAAGAAAGCAGGTCAGGAAGGGGAGAGGCTGGGACCCATCGGGCTGGGCCTGGATGATGCAGAACTTGACAACTAGGTAATTCTCTCTGAACACAGCAAGAGAAGAATACTCAAGGCAGAACAGCTTACTTCAAGGCCAAGAGAGCAAATTTATTATAAGTTTGTTTTAAGGGACATAGCAGGAACATATTTTACAAGACTCAATTCTAGAATCTTTTTTTCCCTTTTTTTGGTGGTGGTACAGGGCTTTTCCACTGAGTTATATCCCTAACCCTTTTTATCTTGAGGTAAGATCTCACTAAGCTGCTCAGATTGGCTTTGAACTTATGATCCTTCTGAAGCTTGAATTACAGGCATATACTACTACATTCAGTGAGAACATTTTTAAAAAAAAATTGTACCAAGAATTAGACCAGGTCCTTTGAACTGAGCTATAACACCAGCTCTTTCTATTTCTAGTTTTTGAGTCAGGTCTTGTTAAGTTGCTAAAAGTTGCCCAGGCTGGACTTGAGCTCACAGTCCTCCTGTCTCAGTCTCCCACAGTGTATTCTAGGAGCATGCCACTGTGTTTGGCTGGGAGAGATCTTTTTAAGGAACTGCAGCTGGTCACCCCGACATGGGCATTCTAAGGGCTGTAAGGTGCACCTGCTTCCACTGAGCCAACAGCCCTCACCCCTGCACCTTCCTGCTGAATGAAAGACCCCAGACTTACTTCCTTTTTTCAATGATTCTATTAAAACACAGGTTGGGGTTGCAGAGCCTTAAGATTTTATCTGCTTCCTTCTAACTGGGAGAAGAGGACTTCGAGGACATGAACACTGAAGAGCATAATTCCAGGCTGTGGGCACAGGGAGAGGAAGACGAACTGGCCCTGAGCCAAGGCAAAGCTGGGAACCTCTCACCTGAGTGCCTGCATGTGGCAGCTTGATATTCCCAGCAGCAGCAGTCACTTCAATGTAAGCTCGCACGAGAATGTCCAAGTAGTTCATCTTGGAATATTCCTGTTGGGAGATAGTGGATGCGTTACATAGTAACAAATGTCCCAGGTGGTGGCAAATGACTTCCAGGGGATAGCCTCATGGCAGGGCCACACCTCTAGAAACGTGCCATTCCATAACCTTGACCGCAGAACAAGGGCAGCCTTGCTGTCCAGCCCCTGCAGCGGGCACCGGATGTTCACACACTTCACATTCACGCTGCAGTTCTGGAGAGAGAGGGAGACTGGCCGTCAGGATCTGCTATGTGCAAAGCCTTCCCCATCCTGTTCCATGTTCCCAGTTCTGGACAAATACTCACAAGGGTCTGGTATTTTCTTTCAGTAAACAAAGAAAATTTTCTCCTATCGTCTATCTGTTTTTCAGCAATTTCCCGTTTCATTCTTGACTTGTGGGACTCCTAAAAAAAAAGTTTATGCACAATAGTTCCACTTTATGTAACTCTTTGTCAATATCATACAAACTTTCCTAGTAAGCAATGTCAAACTTACATAACCAACCATCAGTAACTTCACAAGTAAAGCACACAAGTAACTTCATTGTAAAACCAGCAAATGTTATATGACCACTCTAGCACCAAGTTTATGGACTAATTTCTAGGACTGGTTAAGTAGTTTATTCCTACTGTGACCTTTAAACTCAGGGAAAGAGAAAGATGCTCCTTCCTTCCTTTGTGCCCCTACTGAACTGTGAAAAAATGGCACCAAACCATGAGCCCACTGAGGTCAAGGACCAGTTCTTATTCCTGAATCCCTCATACCCAGCTCAGTACCTAACATGGTAGACAGCATATGCAGAATGGTCTAGTGAACTGAAGAGCAGCAAAAGAAGCAAAAAGACCCACTACAGGGGCTGGGGATTTAGCTCAGCGGCATAAGCGCCTGCCTTGCAAGCAGGCAGTCGTGAGTTCGATCCCTGGTACCGGTAAAAAAGTAAAAGAAAAAGACCAAAAAAAAAAAAACAAAAACAAAAACAAAAACAAACCCACTACGTGACTAAGTTGAGACAAGCACTGACAACTCAGTCATGTAAGTACTTTTAAAACTGCATTTTCCTATGCAAGCTGGATCTCCCTCATCTGAAATGCTTGGGACCACAAGTGTTTCAGATTGTGGAGTTTTTCATATTTTGGAATATCTGCATTGAGTTTACTTACTGGTTCAACACCCCTAATTTGAAAATAAGGAATCAGATTTCAGAGAATTGTGGGATTTGGATCTTTGGATTGGAGCTGTTCAGTCTGTATTTAAGATTAGGAGTTTAAGATTGAGAGGCCACCTCGATTCTTAAGCGTTGATGAGTATAGAAGCAGGGTCCTACTACAGAGCCTGCCACCAGCAAGTATTTAAAATAAAAGAACCTGACTTGTGTTGACAACCCAAACCTTCATCAAACTGGAGCATAAACAGATACCTAAGTATGGGCAGTAGAGGGTAGGTAAAGAGTGGCAGGTTTTGAAATCAGAAGGAGCTTGAATGCAGAGTTTGCCTCTTAACAATGAGAGACTCTGAGACAGTTACCCAATCTGTAGGCATGAGGGTAACAAGGATATCTCCCTCCTAGGACTGCCTAAAGATTAAAAGGAGAAACACATGGTGGGCATGATGGCACATGCCTGTAATCCCAGTACTCAGGAGACTGAGGTAGGAGGATCACAGCAAGTCAGAGGTCAGGGTGGGCTACATAGTGAGTTCAAGGCCAGCTTGGACTACATAGTAAAAACCTGTCTTAAAATAAATAAATAAAAATTAGAAACACAAACAAAATGGTTAGTACAGTGCCTAAGACAGTAAGTACTCAGTGAATACTTACTATTTTAAGAAATAAGAATGAAAGTTTTTAAGGTCATTTGCCAAACAGCCAGTATCTTTTGTAGTAAGTGTTAGTGATCCTGCTTGCAATGAACTGCCTCACTCCTGGGAACATGTCTCAATCCTCTTTAAAGGGTATACTGGGTCACTTGTATCAACAAGCACTGAGTGACTGTGCCTTAGGTATCATAATGGTCACCAAAAACAAACAAACAAACAAACAAACAAAACCCCAGCAATGGTCTTTGCCACTCCACACACCTGTGAGGAATCATAGGATATGTCCAAAGCCTGCCCCAGGAATGAAATAGTACAGGCCCCCACTCTCTCAGGTTGGAGGACATACCTCCAACAGTTGGCCTCTTTCTCCGCTAGCCATTTGGCAATCAAACTGGCAATGGTTTTGGGACCCACGATGTACACAGCCCAAGAATCCATCCAGGAGGACAAACTACAGGACTTGACTCCTAGTCCCCATGCATGAAGGAAAGAGGGATCTCCAACTGATGCTGGATGTAATAATGGGTCTAGCTGTGACCCAGTCTCACAGTGGGCAGCCCAGTACAAAAGTACTCTGATTTAAAACAGGAACAGTGAGGTTAAGCTAACAGGCAGATTTGTATACAGTGTGATTGCGTGTGATGAATGAAGAAAGGCTCCTACATGTGTACACGGACAGCTAAGTGGTCTCCAGGGAGTTGATACTATGGTTGCTGGCTTGGGCAGCTCACAAGTGACAGACAGGGCACCCAAAAATGACAGAGATCCAGCTTTGGATTCACTACTCCAGAATCAAGTGTGTTCATCCTGATAATTATTAGAAAGCCTACCCTGATGAATCCAATCCTCTTAAAGACTACCATGAAGAAACAATGCACCCAAAGGTACCCCACAAAATATATTGGTGTAACTTCTATATTGGTGTAACTATCACAGTAGACACCTTGATCTGTTTTGTCAAGTTACAAATTCAATGTATTGTTACTCTCTGGTTTCTTGTTCCATATCTCCTGTACTTGCTTTTTTTTTTTTTTTTTTTTTGTCTTTTTCCTTTTTTGTCGGTACCAGGGATCGAACTTACGACTGCCTGCTTACAAGGCAGGCGCTTATGCCACTGAGCTAAATCTCCAGCCCCTCCATATCTCCTGTAATCTCAGTGTTTGCTATCATTCTCTGGGTCACAACTCCGACAGACTGAAAGCCCATTAAAAGGCTGTTTTTGTTTTCTGCTACATACATATAATTCTTAGGTTGCTTAGCTGCCTACACCTAAATTAAAAATAACCCGCCCATGGATATGTCTAATCCTCCTAGGAGTACATGGAATATATGGAAATTCAGAACACTGGGAATTATGAAGGGGTTAGCCCTGTAAAAATTCTGAACTCAATTCAACTAATGCTCCTGATTGCTTGCTTCGGTCCTCTCTTATGATAGTATGGGCAAGTACTTCCCGCTTCCTGGGTTCCACTAAGTGCCAAAATATCTCTGCTGACTGAACAGATATGTTCACTGTCACTTCAGTTTCTCTGGCAGTTCCCCTTGGGACTTTCTTTGTTTGCTCTGACCGAGTGCATCAAGTATTTGATAGCACCAAAATGAGTTTTTGTGCACTTGCTTTTCTTGTACCTGACTTCTCTGTTTATTCAGGGCAACAAGATTCTGTACATGCTTTTGGTCATATCAAAAACATGATCCTGCCCGTATTAGCCAGAATAGCAATTAACAGGCAGCTTGATACTCAGTGCTACATCTATGGCTGGGAGCCAACCACAATACTCATAGTTAAGTGCTCAGACTGCAGGAGATTTTTACTAACACACAAACCTCAACAGACATGCTGTAAGATCAAACAGATTCTTTAGCTATAGTCACTCTCCAGAATCAAACAGCCCTAGATCATCTGACAGTCCAGTATGGAGGTACTAGCCTTTTCCTAGAGGAAGACTGCCGCTACTATGCTAATGAATCAGCTACAGGAATGCCTCAAGCATAGGGTCCCAAATCTTATGGTAGGATCTCTATAGATTTTCTCCCCTCAGGGACAGCAGCTCTGCTTGGACTTTTAATGGCCCTCCTGGCAGTTTTTCTTCTGGTACTTGTGTGATCTGCCTTCTGACATGCTTCCTGAATGAATGCTTTGAAGCTATGTACCACCAGCTCTTACTACCCCTTACCAGTGCCTTAGTACTGAGGAAACTGAAGAAGAAACTTCCCCATAATAAAAACAGGGGGTAATATACGGGCACAGTTATAGAATAGCAAACTTATAGACATTTTACAGCAAAAGATAAAAATCAGATAACTGCCTGCGGCATGCACCAGGAGAACCAGTGCTCCCAAGATCCGGCCATGGTGGGACTCAGGCAGCTTATTCACCTGCCCTCCTGGTAAAGGCCCGCAGTGTGGGCCAGGAAGAGAACCAGAACTCCCGAGATCCGGCCATGGTGGGACTCAGGCAGCTTATTCACCGCCCTCTTAGTAAGTACCTCTTGGTAAGCACCCATGGCATGGGCCAGGAAGAGAACCATTACCTGTGAGCCTACTGCCACACGGGCTGAAAATCAAGCCCCCCCCCCCCCGCCCCGCATAGCTACTGGGGATAGATGTCTCAACATCTCTTGGGAGGATGACCGTATGCAGTATAGCAAAACTGAGGATTTCCTTCTATCTTCTGTTCAAAGGCATAGGTGGTTTTCACTGTTTTGTTTTGTTTTGTTATGTTTCTTTTGCTCTATTCAGTACTCTCAATTGGTTTTATAATGTTCTATTTTTGGTTTGATTTTTCTATACCTAATTGGCCAACTATTGTGAAGTTAAGGAGATATACCATAGTACCTATTACTACTACTCCAGTATCCTACTGTGAAATCCTGTACCAATTTCACTGCATTGTCTTGATTGGCTTTGTTCTGTCTTGTGCTGTTGCATTTTTACTACTTTTAAAATAAAATTAAAAAAAAAAGTTAAAAATCAATTAGTGGCCTGTGACTATGCTCATGCTGCCCGTCACATAGTCTGCTGGGGTCAGTTAGCTTTGACTGCATCTAGCTGTTCCTTCTAGATCACATGCTAGATCAATTTGTCTATATCCAGCTGCTTGTGTTCTTCTCTACTTAGAAAAATATATAGTTTCCAACTTGCTTCAATGACTTCCTGTAGACTGGTCCCGTCAAGGACACATTTAACTCTACTTGTTCCACTCAAATCTGCTTCCCTCCTTCCCAGGAACCTACTTAGAACTAGCTTGCTTGACAATCTATGCCTTAATTCATAAATAATTATGTAATAACCTGCCATCAGCCTTGTACTTCCTGCTTGCAAATTGTATTTGAACTCTAAGCTGACTGGTGGCTGGTGATTTGGAACTGATTCCCACCAGTCTGACGGCATAATAAAAGTTGTCTTCTAACTCCTCAGTGCAAAGAGTCTTCCATTTGGTTTGATGCTGGTTTTTCTGCAACAAACTAAATAAGAGAAATTGTGGCAATCAAGAAAAGTCAACATGTCAAAGGGCCAGTCTCCTAAAGAGTCATGAGCCTCTTGAAAGTCAGCTTCTCTTATTTAAAGAGATGTTAGATAAATTCACCAACATACCTTTAGTTTCAGTGGGTTGATTTCATCTGGCGGCTCACAAACTATCTTTTCCAGTCCTTTGGATTCCACTTTCACCAAATATAGCAACCATTTGCCATTGCTAATTTCTTTTGGCCACTGAATATTCAAGGTTGCTGAGCCAAGGTTTTTAAGTGGTTTACCTAAATTAATCACCTGTTAGAAAGTAATAAATATTATCTCAACATATTCCTTTTAATGTGAAATTAAATAGCTATTCCTATTTAAGGAGACCCAATCATTACCTTCCTTCCTGGCACATACTAAATATGTATCATCACCGCAAAATTCTGGGGAAAGGGAGGTGAACATTAATTGCTGTGGTTTCTATCTGGATGCCCCCTCAATGCCTCATGCACTTGAAGATGGAGCTTTTGAAAGTTGATTGAATTATGGGGGAAATATGATATAAATGTAATATAAGGGGTGGGGCTTGATTGGAAGAGGTGGATCAATGGGCAACCCAGAAGAGTTTATTTCCCTTTCCAGTTCTTCCCTTTATTCTCTCTGGTTTTGGGGTACTGTGATATGAGTCTTTCCTCCATGTTGCTTCTGCCTGGAGCTAGCCAGCCACGAGTAAACTAAAGCAGCAGCCAAAATAAGCCTCTCCTTCTTTACACTGTGTATGTCGGGTACTGTGTCCCAGTCACGAGAAGGTGACTAAGACATGAACTGTCTTTCAAACTCAAGCAACAAGAAAGATGGCCTTATTACAAAGGAAGAAATCAACCATACATTCTGAAGCCCAATAGAAATTACTTTGAGATTTTTCTTTGTTTTATAGATCCTGGTAAAATGAGGATCAAATATTTCTTTATTTCTATACTACATATACATTAAAATTCTAGTAAGAAACAGACTACAGTAAACTTGATTCTGAATCAAAGGCCTAGGCTGACAGTTGTTTCCCACTCTTGAGGATAAAGCTTTTATTATAAACCAGCACATTGTTTAAAAATTGGCAAGCTTGCATTTAACTGAATATTTGTTTATAATGCTTTTTAGTAATATTAGCTACTTACTAAAATGACATATTCAAGATGGTATCTCAGATATGGCAGTTTCCAGTATAAGAAAAAGATCAACTGCTCCAACTCACCTTGAATTCATATTCTATTAAGCTTCCTACTTCATCCTCAGATTTCATAGCTTGTTCACCAACCACTGTACCACCAAAATACACCTGGGAAGGTTTAGCGACTCTGTTAAATTAAAAAACACCAGTTTTAGTGAGGATTGTAAATGGTTCTTTCAAACATTGATTTGTTATGCTAAACACAAACACTTACCCAGAGACCGATAAAAGCAGTTCAATAACCACTTTTGCTTTAGCTGTAATTGAAGCCAAATTATCTTGATTGCTTGTTCTGAAAATGAAAAGGAAACAATAGGGTACAGTCAGTTTTCTCATCACAATTACACTTCTTTTATGCATTAGATCAGTGCCAATTCATTGACTGCCAGGGTTTTCATGAAATAATTCTAGATGGGAAGGAAGCTTACGTTTCCAACTTTAGGTTAATGTCCAGATCAGTGGTGTCAAAGGTGAGCTCAGTTGTACTTAAGATCAAATAAAAAGTAACCTAAAAAATATAAATAGCTGTTAACACAGGTCAAGTATATGTATATGGTAATGATATTTAGAACAGTAAAATACAGTACATGAAGGTATCACTAACACTGGAATTTCTTTTAAAAGGATTTCCAAGTTCACAGTCTGCCTGGGAGCCATTCTGGTTGGCCACACAACTCAGCTGTTTCTCCTGTAACAGAGAAAGGTAACACACTGTAGCACAGTCATGACGGTGTGCTATGTGGTGCTGGCCCTCACCCACACGGACCCTGAAAACACTTACAGGGAAAGCCCTCAGTTCTCGGTAGGCTGAGTATGTCAGAGTGTCAGGAAATGTTGCTATGAGTTTGGCTTCATGGGCATCATCGCCATCTTTTTTGGGATTTCTTGGATCAGAGGGAATGTTTGTCACTGTTATTTCCAAAGCAATATCCTTCTGGTCTTTTAGAACTAGTTCTGGAACACCTTTTTGGCTATTGAAAAACAAACAGACAAGAGAAGAGAAAGTCCGACTCAGTATTTTTTAGGAATCTTTTCTTAACAAAAAGCCACGTAGAAGTCAGAGTTGTTTCTGTTAGTGCTGCAAAGTGAGTCTTACATTGGAAGATAAGAAAATTTGTCTTGATTTCCTTCTCGGGTACAAAATTTATATTCCAGTTTCAGGTTGCTGTTACATACATTGTCGTCTCCACATCCCTCCTTTAAAAAGTGCACCTGTGGGAAAACAAAACCATAAAGGCATCTAAAGAAGCTTCCATATAATTCATTTCACAGGGTAGCATAATGTTAGATTATATACTCAATAATCACATGGTGCAATAATTAGGAAAACTGACTCTTTTACTGTTATGTTACTGTTAACTTGATTATGAACCTGGAAAAATACCAAAGAAATATTAACATGGTAACAGCTAATAATATCAAAGCACATTGTTTAGGGAACAAGTCAGGGAACATGTCCAAAGTTCAGGGAACTCCATTTAGGGAATAAAAAACAACTGACAAAGTAGAGAGTTAGGCATTTAGGCTTTTGGACTGAAAGCAATGAGTATTCCCCTGTTCAGAAAAGCTATGTCAGTAAGCCACCAGTATCAGGAGCCTTGCAACCTCAGTCCAGTATCAAGTGGATTTTTTTTTTTTTCTGAGCAAGACAACATCTCACAATGTTGTTACTCAGGCTGACTGCAAACTCCTGAGCTTAAGCAATCCTCCTGCTCCAACCTCCTCAGGACTACCGGCAAGTCCAGCTATACCAAATGAACTTTCACAGAAAGTATAGAATGCCAAATCAAGAAGTCATGTTTCCCCAAGTTACTCTTGATTTCAACCATTCCAAGCACTAGTTAACAGATGCCCCTCTAAATCTCATAGAGGTGTCCAGCAAGCCACATTTCTTTCTAAAATAACCTAAGCTACATTAGGCACTAAACAATTACTACATTGTAACTGTAGTAATTGTAAACGATTACTCACTGAATTTCAATCTTTCTTGATTTGTTTTCTGCATTTTACTGTTCTCAATGATAAAATACCATTTTTTTTTCTACACACAGCTATGGGAGAAAACAATATGGGAATACAAACTCTGCCAATTATAGTCTTAATTACAGTGGCCAAAAATGGTAAAGACAAAATACTGCCAAGCTCCACATTGTACATCAGATTTCCGTATTCACTGCTAATTTGGGAAACAAGTCTTCTCAAACAGTGCATTATTAAAAGGCACATTAATAATAAAGGAGCAGCTTTAAAGCACATCACTGGTTCTACTGCCTTGAGAGTTGATTTAGCATCACAACATGCCAACAATTTTGGCAACACAAAAGTCAGGAAGACTTACATCAGTCTGGACTGTCGTGGGTTCGTTTGAATTCAGAATTGGAAGAATTTCTGGAAGTGAGTTTACTCGCCTCCGAGAGCTGGGCTCCTGGATCTCCACAGAAGCGGTTATGGGGATGGGACGCAGTTTGTCTCTGATGTTTTCCTGCAAAGTAAGTGGTCACAGTTATACTGCAGTGCCACTGGGGAGCCCCAAGCGATGACTGTGAATTGATTATCACATTGCTGGGACCCACTTCAGGAATCTAGGTAGGAGGCCATAAGACCTCACTCCTGCCACAGCGCTCACCTGCAGCCAGAGTGTCTCCTCCATGCACAGTCGCTGCTTCTGCCTCTGCAGAGTGAGTTCCTGAGTATATCTGGGCTCAGATGCTTGGTTTCGAAACTGAACTCTTGATGACAGCCCAGACTTTCTTCTTTGCTTTTCAGCTTCGAGTGTGCCCACAATTGCTAGATAAAATTAAAATTGTGTTAATTTACACTGTGTTCATGTGCCATCCAACTTTAAGTTTGGCAAGGTACTTTTAGAATATTTTAATTTTTCATAGAACAACATTCCCCCTACCACCACCACTTGTTTCTCTTTGTATGTTGGTGATTTGTGATGCTTCCAAACTGTCCTTTCCCCTGTCTGCTATTAATAATATCTTAAATTTTCACTGGGCCACCTGGGGGAGCTCGAGAATAAGTCAAAACCTTCCCACAGCAGCTATGAAAGAATCAATGAGTTTCTGGCTGAATTTCAGGAACACACAGAATACTGAAGAGAACTAGAAATATCCAACATTCCCTCAGTGCCCCAACTGATGACTCTCCATGAAATCTTGCTTCACTGACCCTGGGCCATTGCTATTCAAGAAAAAGTCTCTGGAAATGGTGGTATCTCCTGCCAGCTGAAGCCTAATCTGCAGTTTAACAACATCCCCAGATGATAAAGGGCATTTGTTTGAGCAGAGGAATATGAAGAAGTCTTCTGAGAGGAGGAATAGACCTTTTGGTCTTTAAAAAAAAGCATTTAATGGCAAATGATATTCTGCATAGTGTCGGAAGGCTGTCTATCAGCATAATACAACTCCTACCACCCAAATTTCCACTCTACTCTACAAGGACAGCTTGCTGCTCTGATTATTCTACTAATGGAGCTTAGATGCAAGCCAGGATCTGGATTATCGAAATCTCAATTCTTGATTTCAGAATGCATTCTTTGCTGGGTCACTGCATGTAGCTGCTAACCATGTTTTTCATGGGCTATTACTTAAATTACTTACATTCATTACACACTCACTAACCACTGGAAAAGAAAGCAAGCCAACACACACAGCACAGAGACAGCAACTCTGAGGAAAAAATGTGCTGTAGAAATTGGAAACTATGAACAGCCCACATTCTAATATTTACCCTTAGGCTGGAAGAAACCTTTTTGACAGCATCTGTTTCAATACCCTATGTTTGCTGATGAAGAAAGGGAGGGCTGGGGCCATATGGTGCAGGATGAGCAATCACCTATATTGAATCTCCATTCCCAATGCTAAGATGGCAGTCCAGGAAGGCACCCAGGTCTCAGTGGCATCTAGCCCTCTATGTGCATGCATGGGTCCTTCCATCTGTCCTTATCCACCTCTACTGGCCTGCTTAGAGGACCCTATTTCTCCTTTACAGCTCTTGCTGGACACCATTTCCTCTAGAAAGCCAATCCTGGCAACTCTGGTGACACCTTAAAGCACTCTATGTCCCCAGCCCCTCCTGGCCCACTGTGCTGTGACCACTTAACTGTCTCCTGCAGTGGGGCTAAACTGAGGACAGGGACCACACAATCCAGATCACCAACATATTCCCAGCAACTCTACCTTAACACCCAACAGAAAACATGATTTGTAGAGCAGATGAACAGGAGTGGGAGTAACTCATCCACACCAGCATGCACACTGATGCCTGGGCGTGCACACACACGCACAGAGACTACAACACTATTCTTATGCTAAAATGATACTTAGACAGGTAAGCCCAAAATTTAGAAATATGGACAGTTTTAATAATAATTTCTGTGTTCATCTGAAGAATTCTTAAATGTCACAGCCACCAAATGGAATGCTCCCCCACTGCAGGCCCTCTGTAGCCTTGACATCTTCCATTTATCAGTGACCTGCTAACTTTACAATGAACCAGATAAAGGCTCCCACGCTGAGTGCCCCGCATCACAAAAGTGCTGCAGAGGGTGTGGATGCATTAAAACCCTTTATCCACCAACCCACAGTAACCTTCCCTCACCCTCCAGACAGTTCATGCCATCTTAAAATCTTTGCAGACCGCCTCTGCTGACCCGTTGAGGGGTAAGCCAAGTAGATACTCATTAAAGCTCAATTATAAATATCAGAATGTATGGAACACTACATCTGAGGACTGCCAAGTTCAAGTATCCTGGTCAAACAATAAGCTCTCATTTTGGGATATTGGGGGAAGATTCTAGATGCAGTAACTGATGCAGCTTTGTAAAAGTTCTGTTCTATTTCCTTCATAAGTTCCCAATCGTGGGGAAGTACAGGCAGAGTAAGTGCTCGTGGGTCTGGGGATTTAGCTCAGCGGCATAAGCACCTGCCTTGCAAGCAGGCAGTCGTGAGTTCGATCCCTGGTACCGATAAAAAAGGAAAAAGACAAAAAAAAAAAAAAAAAAAACAAAAAACAAAAACAAAGTAAGTGCTCGTCTTCAAAGAAAAAAGATCCAACCCAATAGGTCATTAGTCAACACTTGGTTAATTGGAGTAGTTATAGAATATAAAAGCAACACAAATGGCATCACATGTTACACTAAACGTAGAGAAAAGTTTGTAATTTCTCTTATATAAATAAGGAGTTTGAGAGGAACATGCCAATGAGATATCACATCTATAATCTACACAATGGTTTGAAAAAAATGGCAATCAGAATAACAGATACAATGCTTCCCCCATTTCCTCTCCTGCCCAAAAATCACTGCTGCGTCATGTCTTTCCAATCCATTTCAAACAAGGGTAACAGGCCTGTCATCCAAGTGGATAAGAGCAAGGTGTGACATTTGGGTAAAATAATACCAATACCCTAAAAGGGTGAGAGATCAGAGGAGCACGGTGTACATTTTATCATTATTACAAGCCAAGTAACAAAATGAGAGCTGTCTTAAACATCAGAGCAAAAGGCCACAGCAGCTATGCACAATGTCACAGTACATCCATACCACATATGCTTCATGCCAGGTCTGCAGGGCCCACTGTGCAGACTGCATGACAGGAGATAACCCAGCAGAAAGGAGCGGCAGCAGCCACATGGGGACAGCTTCCAATCTGAAGAGATGAAAGCTAAATGGGCCCACAAAGATGATGGCTGGAATTTTTTTTTTTTGTACCAGGGATTGAACTCATGACCACATGCTTGCAAGGCAGGCACTTATGTCACTGAGCTAAATCCCTGGCCTGATGGTTGGAATTTTAAACAGTGTGTTTGCTTAAACTGCTGCTCTTCATAACTCATTGAATGTTATCATAGATTATTTTTAATTCTTTCTTTCTTTCTTGCCTGAGTTACACCCCTAGCCCTTTTATCTTTATACAGGGTCTCCCTGAGTAGTGCACGCTGGTTTCAAACTTTAGATCTTCCAGTCTCAGCCTCCCAACTAGCTAGGGAGGAATTCACCAAGCAAGAAAGACTTTCTCAATTCTCATATTCCTGCCTTGCCTGCAGCTGGGTCAGGTGGCTCACACCTGAAAAGGTATGTTTGCTACTAAAATGTATCAGTGAAGACCTTAGTATCATTGGCAAAATTTGTGACAAAAATTCTGTTTTCAATTATAAAAAGCAGCATAAATGATAAACTGCCTTTCCATCATATTTCCTCACTCGGTCACCACCATGATCCCAGGGGTGAAGGGAAAATGAAAGCTCAAAGGGTAAGTAAGAGACTTGCCCTGTGCTGTGGGGTCGGCGGGAGTCAAGGTTGAACTGGAGCGAAGCCTCAGGCTCTGGTGCCTGGGCCAGCCCCAAGGCCTGAGGCCTGGCCTTGGGGATGCTGCTTGGGTGTTCCGGGCTCAGACCCTCTGGAGGAGACTGTGGAGAAGACTGAATAGCCTGGCACTGATTCAGTCTGTGCTCAGGCTCCTCAGCTGCCCGTCTACAGCCGCCACCCACTACTTCACCACCACAAAACCAATTTTCCACACTGATTTTCAAGGGTAGAAATGGAGGAAACCATTGTGGCAGCAAATAAGTACTTTTCCAAGGCATTCTCTCCCAAACCATCTGCTCTGGAAAATTCAAATGTAGACCAAATGGAGTTTTTCCTCCCTCCCTGAGCTGAGCCCTCCTGATTAAAGGGAAGACCACATATAAACTTAACTCTTTAGACAAGAATTTATGGGCCCACTTGACCACCATAGTTTTGTTTTTCTGTGATTTATACAGAACTTTCAACCTGGCAGAGAAAAAAAATTCTTTGTAATGTACTAGGTAGGTACTTACTTATTGGAGGATTGTAACCAGTGGGTTTAGCAGTATATTCAAAACAGGCTTTAACCTTGAGGCTGTATAAAAAATCAAACACATACTTATTAAAAAATGCATTATTGCAGTGGAAAGAACCCAACATATTTCCCAGCTCTCCAACCCCCCACTGACAAGTAAAATAGCAAATAATCATTTGACAGAGCTCCCAGGACACAGCAACTCTCACCATATCCCGCTAGGTGCTGCGCATGTTTTCTGGCGGAGGTCAATTCTGCTAGGAGTCACTGTGATGGTTTTCTGAATGTTGATCACGGGCCGGGATCTGATGAGGAAGGAGTGAAAAATAAGCTCAGCCTCTTGTTACCTTGAACGTGAGATTCATTCACATACTAACTGGCATTTTCAGCTGCCCGCTAGATCTCAACCACAGGAAAATGGCTGCACGTGACTTTTCCTCCAGGATATAAACAAATAATATTTAAAATTATACTGTACTTAAAAATTTACGAACTTGTTATTTGTGGTCTGGTACTGGGAATTGAACTCAGGGCCTTTGCACTGAGCTACATTCCCCAGTGCTTCACTTTCTAAGATAGGTCTGTCTAAGCCCCCAGTGGGCCTGAACTTCCTGCCAGAGTGCTGGGTTTAGAGGTGTGCACAATCATGACCAGCTTTAAAATTTACAATCTTATAAATGGATGTACCTGATATGAATAGGTAAGTTTCCATTTAATATGCCCAACGCCCAAGCAGTCTTCATGTTCTTTCAGACACCTATCAGTCTGTGTGTTTCTGTTACAAACATCATCTAAATATAGAAACTACATGGTTTCAACTAAATGGGAGCTCTTTATGTTCTGTATTTTGATCCACCTTCTTCATTAACATTTTGAAGGCTTTCGCTTGCCTATACACAGATCTAATTCATTATTTTTCCCCAGCTAGTGGTTGTACTTTATCTCTAGGACATCCATGACCTGATCAATCCCAATCTATAGACATTTTTGGAGCTGGAAGAGTTTCTCCTCTGTGTATACACTTCTGCATCTTCACTTTATCTCTAGGATAAATTCCTAGCAGTGGAACTGCTAAGTCAAAGAATACATTCATTTTTAAAAATTACTGTATTTAAGTATATTGACACATAAAACCTAAGCATTTATGGAGCACCATGTGATGTTGATACATATGTGGATTGTAAAATGCTAAACGTACCTATCAAGTATTTATCATTTATGATAAAAACATTAAAAATTCTTTCTAGCTATAATAGCACACCAGAATACTCTGCTTCTAGCTAACTATAACTTAGTACCTACTGATCAACTTATTCTACTCCCTCAATTTTCTTCAGATTCTGACTACCACTTTTCTTCTCAAATTTTATGAAACAACCTTTTCTATAGATTCCACCTGAGATCATGCAGCATCTGTCTTTTGTGCCTGCTTTATTTCACTTAACAATGATCTCTAGTTTTAGTCATTCTGTTGCAAATAAGCGATTCCATTCTTCTTTATGGATAGATGGTATTCCACGTGTATATGTACTTATTTTTTTTTTTGGTCATTCATCAGTTGACAGACACTTTGGTTGTTTCCTTTTCATGGCTACTGTGAGCAGTGCTGCAATAAATGTGCGAATGCAGATCTTGCTTTGAAATATTGATTTCCTTTTCTTTGAATATATACTCCAGGATGGGACTGCTGGATCATACAGTTCTTCTTTTACTTTTTAAAGAAACTTTCATACTGTTTTCCATAATGGCTGTACTACTTTACATTTCTACCAACAGTGCACCAGGATTCCTATTTCCCTAACACTCTTGTCAGTACTTATTACCTGTCATCTTTTTAAAGTCATTCTTACCAGGATGAGATATGTGCACTTGTGAGTAATCTTACAAAAATATCTTTCAAAAAGATTGCCACCATGATAGCTCTAAAACTCAGGCTGCTCACTATCAAGGTATTTATACGTATGTCAACTTCAGCAACAAAGCCAATCCTAAACTTTTAAAACTTTTAAGACAGTGTTTTTTAAACACCTTCCTTCTTTATCCTCCGCCAGAACCTCCCATCCCAACCGTGAGATCTGACTACACTTTCCCTAGCTCCCAGAATCTCTCAGTAGGAACTGGAAGCTCCTCCTCGTCCTCCCAACTGTGGCGCTGCCCACCAGTGCCCTGTGTGTTCTGGAATCCACCCCTTCCTCCTGATCGCCACAGGAAAACCTTTCTTTTGTCTGTTCCATGCTAACCCTGCTTGTGTAGCCAAAGAAGTCACAGGATGGTTGGAGGGGGGTTGCTGGGATGGGAAGAGCCTCATCTCCATCTCTTCCTAGCCAGGTTTCACTACCACAAGGGTGCAGAGGCCTGACTTAGGTGGGCTTGTAGAAACTCTGCCACCCAAAGAGCAGTGTTTTTAATAGGAGAATGAGTTGTTTTTCATTTTGTTTTGTTTTTTTTTTTTTGGTACCAGGGATCCAACTCACGTGCTTGCCAGGCAGGCACATATGCTGCTGAGCTAAATCCCTGGCCCAGGAAAATGAGTGATTAATTGAAACAGTGAACTCAACCTTCTGAAACCTTCTGGTGGGCTGGGAAGGGTATGAATCCATGCATGGTGAAGGCAGAGGCCAATAAAGGGACAAATACTGCCCATCTTCCCTGCCTCTGTTTTATCTTTCTCTTATATTTAGACAACTACAAGTTTCTAAAACACTAAGTAGGTACATTTAAGTTTGAGAACACTTAAAAGGCAAAAACTGACATTTTTTACAGTATTTATTCACATATTTTAAAATCAGTTCCCACAGATGTAGAATGCTTTATGTATCACACTATTAATATATTACTCTGGTATAAATTCCAAAATATTTTAATGTACATTCCTGCCTGAGACCTACTTTATTTTTAAACATAGTATTTTAAATTTTATTTTAGCATTTCTTAGTACATGTTCGTACACACAGAATTTTGAGGGCACAGTTGTATAAATGATGAAAAATGTGTCTTAATGTATCAAGCAAATCTTACTGGCTGGGCTGCTCATGTGTAATTGAGGTGTATTCATCAATTACCCTGAAGTATTAGTACAGTTGAGAGGGGATATGCCCAATATTGAGGGTGGAAAAATTCAGATATTATACCCTGTTCTCTCAGAGCCTACCCTTAAATGCTCAAGCAAACCTAGGACTCACTTTCCTCACTTGTTAAATAAAGAGATTGGTTCTTCTCTTATTAAAGGATTTTGAAACCTGCTTGCAAACTATGAAGAAAGAAGGAACAAGGTTAGTGTTCATTACCATCCTACCTATGAGAACAGGAAAGTAACTGAGGCAAATGTTCATCTAAAGTTCAGTCACCTGTTGGAAAACCTTGGTGCCATGGTTTGTGTCTAGATGTCCGCCCCCCAAAAAAAAACCCTCATGTGATCAGAGGCCGAATCTAGAGTATGTAATTGATTGGTGGTGCAGTGCTGAAAATCAAAGTGCTGGGATTAAGGGTGGGTGATTGTTGTATCAGTTCACTGATTAGATTAGCACCACCCTAATCCTGTTAGACAGGACACAACATAAACAATGGAAAGAGGTTTTCTTTCTCCTTCCCTCCCTCCCTTCGCCCTTCCCACACCCAATCCCTTGTTGCTTTTGCTGATTTCCACCAGTCATGCAGGGTTGCCCTCCTGTCATGCCACCCTGCCTTGCAAGTCAGCTGATTATGGACTGAAACGTCTACAAACTGTGAGTCAAAGAAACGTTCCCTCCTTTAACTTTGGGTGTTCAGTATTTTGTCTCAGCAACAAGAAAAGTAACTAAGATATGTGGTAACCAGATTTTGGTAGGAGAAGTAAAAGTTTTCTTCATAGTTGAAGGCTATGTGACTCTAGCACTTCCTTTGGGTTTGTAATGCAAAGCTTGTTAAAGTGGTTGAATGTCATACACTCTTCGGCCTTTAAAAAATGTTCAAATACCAGTATGAGCAGAGAGAAACATGCATATAAAGGCAGTGCTGAGAAACATTAAATAGCAGACCTTTTGAATGTGTTAAAAGAGACACAGAGCCATACCCCTCCCCAGATTGGTGGGTCAGAATGTCTCCAGGCTTAAGACTGTTGCTTATTGCCAAGAACACAAACTGTGAATGATGTAGCTACACCTGCCTGAGATCTTTCTTTTCCAAATCATATCCACACATCCTTTTATTTGATTAATTTCCTTTTTTGTTTGGTTTCTTCCTTTGACCTCATTAACAGCTCAGATACTCTTCTCCAATGGTTTTCATACCTCCTGGGTTTGTTATCTATAATCGACTTTTCCTATAGTTCTTTTTTTACATAAGATGGCTTTTAAAGATCTTGCTGTTTACCCAGAAAATGACTTTTCTTTCACTATAGTAAATATTCTCTTTGGCTCTGTCCTGGAACCCTGATATGGTGACTTGTGCATGTAATCCCAGCTACTCCAGAGGCTGAGGCAGGAAGATCACTTGAGCTCAGGAATTTAAAACAGTCCTGGGCAGACAATGAAGAGATCCCATCCCCCAAAGGGGGTCCTGGGGATGATTTCTAATTCTCAGGTGAATTTAGGAGGATTATATTTTAGTCATGCAGGCTGCATCTACACCTGGCATTCTTCTAAAAGTCTACAGGATCACAAAGGAACCAGTCTCCCAAAGAACACAGCATTTCTACCTTAGAGTTTCACTATGCCCTATGGCCCATTTCCCTAAAGATAGTAAAGACTTTAAGATATCGAAATGACTGTAAACAGTTAAGAAAAAAACAAATAGTTCATTTTTATTAGCAACCAAAGAAATGCAAATTAAATCAAAAAGTGAGGTCATACATCACATTAATAAACATTAATCACATTTAAGATTGGTAAGGCTGTGAGAAAACTGGCCCTCTCATTGGTTGCTGCCCATAAATATAAATTTTTATAACTTACCTGAGAGTATATGTACTAATGTAAAAAAGTGTGCTAACATGTATCCCCGGCATTTTATTTCTAGGAGTTTTTCTTTTCTTTCCCTTTTTTTTTTTTTTGTTTTTTTGAGGGAGGGGCATACCGAGGATTAAATTCACAACCTTGAGTTTACCAAGCAAGAGCTTTGAGTCACTAAGCTAAATCCCTCGCCCTCTACGAGTTGTTTTTTTTTTTTTAAAGAAATCACATAGAGATATATATGGTGTATTACAGCACACTATAATAAAGATCACAGACTAAAATTCTTACCAACTGAAGGCAAACTCAATGCCTATAAGGGACTGATATTAACTCCTATTATGTGTCTGTATGTATTTCTGTGCTGACAAGCAGTCCCCCCCCCCCCCAAAAAGCCAGATTAAAGAAAGCAGGCACTGTATGGTCTTCTACTGATCTTCTCAAAGTAAAAGGATACTAAAAACTTGAAAGTTGTTTTATGGAAGACAGAAATATTTAGGAACTTGTACTTTGCATAATGCTATTTTAACTTTTTCAAAAAACAAAAACCTGCTACTTTTAAAACAAAAAAAGTTGAAGAAAAATAATTTTTAATGGTGACTTCCAGCAGTGATAGAAATAATGAGAAAAGGAGACTCAAATGCAGCTGAGAGCCACACTGTTGGAGCCTCTCTGGAGGTCGCCTCGGTGAACCTGGATCAGTCACGAAGTGTGTGTAACAATCTCACTTTGAGGAAGGCATCATGAGGGACCATCAAATGTAAGTGTAGACAAATGTAAGGATGTTCACCACAGTTTTCTGTAGTCTGCAGGTGGGGAAGCTAGGGAGCAATGCACACGACCAGTCACAGTGTGGCAGTTGGTTAAATAAACCTGGACCAGTCACATGATGCCTCCTAGACAGCTGTTGATTTCATTTTAGAAAAGTACTCAATGGTGTGGAGAAGTCCGCTGTGCATCATAGACAAAAGCAGGTTACAAATAATATGTACATTCTGATCCCAATTTAAATCTCAGCTTAACATACATGTGCAATCACAGCAAATGAAAAACTAGAATACAGGTCAGTATTTTGGAGGTCAAGAATGAACGGTAAGAGATTTCCTTCTTTATGCTTTTCGCCTGTCAGATTTTGTATGTATTTGATTTTTTTCACCAAAAGAAAAGCTTTAAAAGTAAGGTTGGGGGTGTAGCTCAGTGACACAGCACTTGCCTACAATACCTAAAGCCCTGGGTTTAATCCTCAGCAGCACCACCACCCCCTGAAAAGGGGGAAATTTGTGAAGTATAATTTCCATTCATTCATTCATTCTGACCTAACATCTCAATAATTAGTTCAAAACTAGCAGGATTTTACAATGTGCTCTTGTTACGTTATACTCATCTCAAGAGAAAAAGATCAAAATTCATACAAGTCTTTGCTTTTGAAGTACAAGTATTATCAATTTCAATCCAAAGTTCAAAATGTTAGAATAACTGATTATGGAACATGCTTAACTAAAGTCAAAGATAACACACCTGAAAATGGTTACTGAATCTGAGAGGGAACCAACAGCAACATCAGGATAGGAATTTCTGTCAAGGTCCATATTTCCAGCAATTGAGTAACCGAAAGAAGGTGTTGTACCCTCGAGAACCTAAAATGAACAGGGCATCAGAATAGACAGTGGGCCACAAACATGAGCTGTTTATCTGTACATTGAAAAAGAGACACAAGTTTCTTTGGAACTGAAGTCTGAGTTTATGTGTAAGCAGAGTTCTAAATTACAAATATATCAAACACTGCAAAAATTTCATAAAACTCATCTGATTTACATCAGCAACTTTTCATGTCTATTTGCTACAGTAAATCAATTAGGGTACTTTGAATCAATCCATTTTCCTACACACTCTCCAAACGATCCCTTTTATTTTCAAAAGCAGTTTTTTTTTGTCTTTTTCCTTTTTATCGGTACCAGGGATCAAACTCACGACTGCCTGCTTGCAAGGCAGGCGCTTATGCCACTGATCAAAAGCAATTTTCAATGTTTGGTGTTTGAATTTTTCAATGTAACTATAAATTTCTATTGTTTGTCCAGTTTCAGCTCTATGACATACCCTGTTAAAAGAAGTGCTGTATATCACTGTTCTAGCTCTTAAACTATCAGGATTGAGCACTCTTGCTTTGAATTACTTTGACTTTCTAACTTATCTAAGAAATTTTATAATTAAAATGAGTAGATTGTTGCATCTATGTCTACTTTAAAGCTATTTTCTAGTAATATATTCTTTGAAAAAAATAATTTATATTGTAGCTCATAAAGAAAACAAGACTAGCATGAAAACTTCCTTAAACCCAAATATTATATTATAAGGCTAAAAGATGAGGCTCTGTGTATAGAAATACAGGTTGTCTGGTTACCTGTGTTGGTTTGGTATTTATTCCATTTGCAGATCCATGATATATAAAAACCTTTCCCATATCATCATAGGGAGCTCCAACTGCAATATCTGTTGACAAGATCATTTTAAAGGGTGTTACATTTTAACAATACTCCAATATAATGCTTTAAAATTGGATCTCATGAGCACTCATTATTTAAACCATCTCACAATCTGTCATCTACCTGGGTAGCCATCTTGGTTGATATCACCAATATTTTTGACAGCAATGCCAAACATAGAATCCTTCGTTCCATTAAGACGAATTGGCTTGACATTATTCCATCTTCCTTGCTGGTTAATGTAGACATACGCTGCCCCTCCAATTTCTCCATCCCTGTCAAAATATTGTGGGGCTCCAATAACTATATCTTGCCACCTAAAAACATAATGAAGAACAGTGAATTAAAATACCAGCAAGCTTTGGGAGAATATCAACAGCTAGGCACTAAAGACATACACAGAGGTAAGAAAAGACCACAAAAATTTACATCTCATCAATTAAAACATTTGAAAAAAATCAAAGTAGCCTATAAAAATACGCTGAGAAAAATACTGGGGGGAAATACTCAACCAATTTCTCAAAAGTTAGAGCCACAGTGCAGCAGGACTTGGTCCAGCAAAGATCCCACTCCTCCACTCCCACCTGGTACCAAAAGCCACAAATCATCCATGAACTGACTTTATCAACAATTCTTCCTTTCAATAAGACATACTGGATGCTCCAACAGTCTCTCAAGAAATCACAGAAAAGGGTTATGTAGGTGTCATTTTCTGAGTTAATTTTTTTCAAAATTCTCATGGGCTCATCATCTCAAGACATGACGGAAAATCGAACATAAAAAATGTCATCTTCCACCCTGGGGAGGATAATGAATGTCTACTGCCATACAGAGGATGAAGGTGGGATGGGAATTGTTAAGAATCTGGCAGAAAATATATTCTTTGGATCAATTACTCTAGAAAAACATATTCTCAAAGTGAAAGAAGCCAGTGAAAGTAACAATGATTAACTGAGTAAAATAACCCATGACAACTCTTACCCATCCTTGTTGAGGTCCACTACAGCCACATCATAGCCAAATGAAGAAGCAAGACCTTCCCCATCAAATATGTGCTCAGGGAGAAGATGTGCAGATTTCAGTTCTCTTTTTAACAAAACCACAGCGCCACTGTGATTGGCTCTTGGAGCGCCAGACACAAAAGTGATTTCATCTTTAGAAACAATACCTTTCCCTGAGTCCAAGGAAAAGCCTAGAAAAACAAATATAACCTCTCACATCCATCCTGTATTTCAGCAAGAACATGGCACTAGTAATTCCATCACTACCTTTTCTTCTGGCTTTCCACCTTGATCTCCTCTTACCTCTTTCTCCAGCTACCTATGAGTTATAGAGCTAAGACTTGTTACACTTTCCATGGATAGTCAGACTTTTAAAGGAAAATATCTATGCTATTTAGCATTTGTATAACTTGAATTATGAAGTCTTTATGCATCTTAAGAATCAATTTGAATCCTATTTTAATTTTAAGGCTGCAGTAAAAGGAAAGATACTACTAAAACTAGATATTGACCTATCATCATTGATGTTACATCATTCCCAAAGAATATAACTGACTCCAACATTAGTGAATACATGTTATGAAGCTGGGTTGTAACACAGTGACCCCTATTTTTACATGAACAAAATCCACATTCATTTATTCCTTGGTAATCAGTGAAGAACAAATGCTAACATCGTTAATATACCATAGATGGCATTTCACTGTTTTGGGTCAATTTAATTCTCAGACAGCATGCAAACAAAACCGTGACTGATGATACAGCATCTGAGAACCTAGTACAACAAGAGTGAGTGAATTATTGCTGGTGAAAGTTACGTACTTGTCCAAAGGGCTTTTTACCCAATTATAAAGCATTAGGTAGGATGTCAGATTATAAATACTGAGATTTGCAAGGCAGAAAATATAGCAAAACTCTCCAAATTAAGCATATCTTTCTATAGAAAGATGAGGCAGTTGCAATGAACAATGTAAGCTTGCCTGTTTAATGGCTTGTATTTGTGAAAAGCTTCACCACTACTGTTGCAGTTCTCAAATTATGAAGTGAGTTGAAAATACGATGAACCACAAGTTTAGAAGAGGGTGATATCATTGAATCCAGCTCTGAAAACCATGGCATGCTTTTTGTATGTGTTTCACTTGAAATGAAATAGAAAATAAAAAAATTTACACTCTGTATGGATAAAAAAATTTCTGAATGACCATGACCAAGACAATTTGTCATCTCAGAGGTCACAAACCTAGGTAGCTATTCATCATCACATCAGGGGATGTGTCAGGCTGCTCCCTGGGAGGCCGTGTTTTATAAACAAACTGATCGGGATCTGTATAGGAAATGCTGGTCAAAAACAGCAGGCCTGTCCGTGTGCATGGAACAGAAGAGATTGAAGAAAAAATAATTATGCTTGGTAGGAGACAGGAGCGCCGCTGCGGTTCTTGCCAGGTGATGAGGCCACCACTGTATCTGGCAAGCTGCTCTCCTCACCAGCTTCCAAAACCTCAGGCAGATCATTTTATTTCCCAAAACCCACTGATCTTTTGAAATGACAGCTTCATTTGCAGCACAGATGAACAAAATGTAGCAGTATAAACTTGATTCCTTTCTTAGACATCCACCTTTGAGAAAATCCACTCTAAAAGTGGCCATTATAATAAAAAAAAGCCTTACATTTTTGTATGTTCTAACAGCAACTATGTTTATAAAACTCCCAGTTTTCTATCTTAAAGATCAAAATGTTGACTTCTTGCCAGGGAATTAAAATTAAATGCTTCCCATAATAATAAAAAATATCCCTAAATAGTACATTTGAAGAAAGAGAGGTTGCTGGTGAATACTGGTTCAAATAAAATTGGTTTGTTGATATCTACACCTGGAAACCCCACATTTACTACTAGAGACTGTGAATCCCTCTCTCCAGAGTCCCCTGCTGTCCCTCTTGGCCACTAACACAGCAGTCATACACCCAGCTGCTTCCTGGCTTCTCTTTTTCACACACATTTCTTTCTTGGTTTGGGGATTATTAATGATGTGACCTTGGCTAGGAAATTGAGCTTCTTGGGCCACAGTTTTACGCATTGGTTTAAAAAATAGAGCAGGGAGTATAAGTGATAATTATTTTATAGTATTGTAGATCTGCAAAGTACTGAGTTTAGTACTTGACACAACACACAAGAGGTGCTGAATGAATAGTAAGTTTTGCTTTCCTCATATAATCTTATATGGTTTTTATTGGGCGATTAAGGATATGTGAATTGAAAAGTGTTTTTTTAATTAACAGTATCATTCATGCATACAATTAGAAAAACAGGGTGTTTCTATGAGCACACTGTTTAGAATTATTTATACATCTATACCTTTTTCCCCCCATTTTCTTACCTTTTATTGTTCCAGTTATATCACTAGCATATGGGTACTTCTGCCCCCCTCTACCACTTTTTAAAAAATAGGTTACTATTTAAGTTCTGAAGATTTTTTACATTTTTTTCCAAGAAATGCACAGTAATTATTCTTTATGTCAACTCATACCAGAATTAAAGCTTTTAAAAGCCTTTGTGTAATTACCATAATGCACAGGAGTAATTTAGGACACCATTAGTAATGAGTTAAGGAATTGGCACTTAGACACAATCTGGGTGTCTTTGCAGCCACTTTAGCAGTCCTGCCTAGCCTCAGCTGGGAAGCTCCTGCGCCACTTGCAGGGCCCTGTGACATGAGAGCCCCACTCCAGACACCGGGCCAACCCTCAGAGAAAGGCAATCACAGGGCAAGGGCCTGGAGGCCTTGACTTCAGAGGGACTTTGTAAGTGTAGCTCTTAAAAGGGTCTCAGAGAGAGAGGCCTGAAGGGAGAAGAAGGCAGGTGGCTCCACTGGGAACAGCCATTTTCTCAAGGCTACAAGAACAGCCTGCTTCAGGTTTCCAAGGCCTGCTAGTTATCTCAGGAGGCAGACAATTTTAGGTGGTAATGTGCTTCCTTCCCCTTAAGGAAAAGAAAATCTTCAGGAAGAGAAGAAGTCCGGTTACCCCCAGATCACTGTAGCCAAGGCCCCTGGCTCCACCTGGCTTACTGTCAGCCCACAAGTCCAGGAGCCTGTGGGCTTCTGAAAGGGCGGGCATCCCACCCACTCTCATTCCTACCTAAGTAACTGTTAGCAGGAACAGGGACGAGACTTTCATCATGGTCAGTCTCTCCACCGACTTCATAAGGCCCATCTTCAAAGATGTTCATGTCAAAAAAAGTATTATTCTTTTGTTCTACTCGAACAATCCCTAAAGGAATGAAATGGCAAAAACAACAACAAAAAAATGAAGATGAAACAAACTAAAATAAATGGCTACTAAAAACATTATCAGGGAAGACAGGGAGGAGAGGTTGGTGAAAGAAAAGGCAGAGGGAGAGGTGAGCTTTGAGGTTATTAAACATGTTTATGTAAATTTTTACATGAAAGAAATTTGTTCTAGTAATGTCTTCATGAACTATCTTTATAATATCATGAGACTAGATGGAAAATGGAATGTTTGCTTAAACATATGCCAGAGAAACTAATTTTTTAAATGACATGAACTTGATATCAATGATATGTTTTATGCTCTCTGCAATCCTCATTTTTTTTTTTTTTGAGGCAACATCTCACTGTGTAATTTAAGTAACCCGTGGACTCAAAGCAATTCTCCTGCCTCAGCCTCCCAAGTACTGAGATTACAGGCATGTACTACCAAATCTTGCTTCTTTTCTACATTATAAAAGTTAAATTTACTGATTTTTCTCTTTGGTTATAAAACATTCTTTTAAAAAGTCTTACAACTATTAAATACTTTTACAATTAAAGACTTCATACAGTAAGCACAAATCACAATAGGACTTTTTAAAAATGGTAACATTTAAGTAAAACTTAATAAAGCAGATAAAGACATATTCCTTTTTTTTTTTTGGTACCGGGGATCAAATTCATGACCACATGCTTGCAAGACAGGTGCTTATGCCGCTGAGCTAAATCTCCAGCCCCAAGGCATATTCCCTATGAATTAAAATACACATAACTGCTGGGTGCTTTGTTTCATTTTACTATAGCATCTATCTTTGCTAAAATAAGACTTCTAAATTTAACGTATCAAAATAGATCATATATAATAGCTTCAGCAGAAGCTTCTATAACTTCACAAATTTTGTTTCATGAAAAACTCCATTGGGAGCGGCAAAGGAGCAGAGGAAATGAGCCCCCAACATTACAATAATAGATGACATACAGAGGGCGGCAAGTTCTCAACAATAATTTCTAGTAGCCATTAAAATGTGGAGAACTTTCAATAGAAAAGGGACAACTTTCTCTGACTCATGAAAATGTATGATTTTCATAAATTTCTCAAAAAGTTTTTTACCTTCAAATCATATGCATTTGTCTTCATTGTGGATAAGTTTGGTTATTTGTCTTACAGCAGTTTTCTACATCTGAATTACTTGAGAAAAGTTAAACTTTACTCTAGGAATGGACAGATTTCCCTGGACAGCAGATGAGGGTCACTGTCCTCCTCTCTCCCTCTAGCGTCTCCTTTCACGCACCACAATGTTCCCACAGTATTATGAAGCAATGTTTCCTCTAAATGCCTGAAATATCACCTCCAAATTTCCCTGATAGTCACTTGTCCTTCTGCCTTGGATTTCTATTAAAACATGGTATTCTAAGGTAATGTACAATTCAAGAAATGTCCATATTTACAGTTATTTGTACACACCACTTAATCTTCAGTTCTCAGATTGCAAACTTAAAAGATTTTTAGCTCCACATAACAAATATAAAACGTAAGGAATAACTGTTATATTACTACAGAAAAAAAAGATAACCACTTTTAGTAACCTAAAGTACTAATAGACAATCAATACTATAATGGATTATTTGTTCCCCTCATCATGTTTGCAATTTTAACATCTCCACTTTTGCACTATACAAATGCCTGATAACACATTCGAATTTAAAATGTACTGAACCACCATACATAGTATGGAAATTTTAAAGACATTCAAATATCTGTGAATACAAATGTCATACCTTTCCAGTTATAAGTACCCGGAGCTCCAAACACTATATAGTGAAAGTCTTTAGTAAAAGTAGCTGCTACACCCTGCTGGCAAGAACCAAATTTTTCATGGCCTCTTAATCGGCCATCACAAAAACTCCAGTCTCCTCCATCCATGTCATCTTCAATCCTAAGATTCTGACTCAGTACGTAACACCTCCCAAAGATGTCTCGAGATTCTTGCTTTGTATTGACATGCTGCCTTTTTTCATATCGATGAGCACATGTCTGCAAACAGAATAAAACAGTCATTCATGTCTAGAAACCATTTTTTAAAAGGCTCCTAACTGATACAACTGTTGATAATAGAGAGGTTAATTCTAAGGAGGATGATTAAGCAGTCATCATCATCCTGGGATCTAATCCCCAAACAATCAACTCTGCCGCCACTTGGCTCATTAACAAGCACAAGGCAACTAGGACTTCTGCAGTCTTCTATCCAAACACGGAGTGCCAATCTGTGCTCACAGGCAATCTGTCATAGAAACAAAGTGAAATACCTTCTTATTTCCTTTTTTTAATTAGCAGTGAAACCTCATCAGTGTGACAATAACTATGGTCTGAAGGACAGAAATCATGGTCCTCTTTTCATAGGGGTTAGGTAAATACATTTAAAACAAAGGCATTTTCTTTTCACCCAGTTTTTCGTGTAGTAAGTCCCAAGTCCCGAGTTCTCTGAGCTCAGATCAATTGTCTGAATCTATCTTTTTTAAAAACGGCAGAAAGAATTGCCCTGATAAAAAAGATGAAATAATCTCTATACTTTCTACAGGGGTTATTTATGGTCCACCTTCCATGTAACACACCCTGGGTGTCTTAAGATAAATTTGTAACATCCAAGTCAACTTCCTACAATGTACCCCTTAAGTATAAAAATTCACCTTTCACTAAAACTCATTTTTCTCAAATTTCTATAAAAATTGTTACAGCAACCAGATTTTGAAAGTGTGAAAGCTCAATATACTCCAACCTCGAAGCACTTGCAAAAGCATCTAACACAATCCACCTAACAAATCCCCTTTGCTTTATTCAAAATTAGAAAATACTCAGGACAGAAAGGATGTCTAGTTTTGTTTTGCCTTTTTAAGACCACCTGGAATTTTAGGGGTATTTACAATGAAGTCTTTGGATCTATTACCTCATAATGTAACAATATGCACAGGAAAAATAATACCTCTCAATGGCTTCTTTTGACATTAGTTGCTATTGTAAAGCAGGAAGTTCACTAGAATGTTTACCCTGCCCCCCTCCGCGGGGGTGCAGGGGTGCAGGGAGGGGAATGTTTTGTTCACTGCTATGGCACATAATGACATTGTGAGTGTTGGGATGATTCCTCTACACTTACCACTACTTTGCCCCCTGGACCTTGGCTCTGGACTGTGACCCCCATCCACTGGTCTTCTTTGCTTTCTGATGCAGGGTCGGCTGTGGAAAACAACACAGGTTACACAGACACAATTAGCACTACCAAATTTTTCACAGGATATGAAAAAATACCCCACAGGATATGAATAGGTAAACAAAAACATAGGAAACTGTTTCCAAATTGCCTTGAATGCCTTCAGGAATTCAATCCAAAAATGACCTCTCCTCTCAAGAAGCCAGAGCAATGGATACTATTAATCTTTCATAAAGTTCTATTCCTGCAGGCCAGGGGCATAGAATGAGGCCCTGGTTTAATCCTCAGCACTACAAAAGGAAAAGAAAAAAGTATACACAGAAAAGACAGAGCTCTACATGGTAACCATGTAAAGTCCAGTCTGCAAAGGTCCATTATGACCCACACTAACAAAAAGTAGGTGCTTCTCTATGTACTCCCCAATTTGTTATAGAATAGAGCTTTCATTGTGTTTACTAGACAGGGGGAGATAAGGACTCAGATTTACTCAAAGCTGACATGTGGCATATTTTATCACTGTCAAAAGAGAATGATGTACTTAATGTTAGCCAGGGAACAAAGGAGAAAGAAACCACAAATACTATCGTGTCAGCATCAACTTAAACCTATAAACCCACTAGATGATCGTATATCCAAATTTTTGCTTCCTCAATGAAAAGACATAAATTTCAAACTTGAATCATTACATAAACATGGAAACCGAACGCTTTTAGCAGACATCAGGAATAATGTCAAAATGTTGAACACAGGGTATGTCTACATATGGAGATTACCAGTGGGCTTTTGTATCCTACAAATCACACGTATTGCTTTCTAACTAGTAAAAAGAAATGTTATACCTAAAAGATAAAGAAGCAAACAAAAGACCATAAATACAAATCTACATCTAATCTTTCCCCCAAATATTTTAACAGCAAGAGATAATTTTTGTCTGCTTGGGTGTAAGATCTGGTCTTACTCTCTTTACTGCTATGAATTTTCAGCTTTATTAACTTTATTTCTTTACTGCTATAAATTTTCAACTGCCTCTTAACCAACCTCAAAGTACCACTAGGTGGCAACATCAATATATCATATTTGTTAAGAAACCAGGATTAGGAGAGGGGGCATAACATCTCCTGCTAGCCTGATATAGAAGATGAATACATCCAGGGCAAACAAAAAGGAATCAAGACTGATGCTATTAAAAGAGGTCCTTCTCTGCAAGAATAAATGTTTGCACCCCGTTTCCTTCCTCTTGGAAAGGGCAGGTAAGGTCCACGTGGGCTGAAAAGGCAGTGAGGGCAGAGCAACGCACCATCGTTATCAAACTCTATCCGTGTGCAAGGTCCCCGGGAGGTGATGTCGCAGCTGTACAGGCCCCCAGTCCTGTTGGCCCTCTGGCGCGGGAGGGCTTTTGCCCGAGGGGCTCCTACAAGCAACCTGGTGATAAAGCAGAGAATTCAGAGATTTGAGGTTAATTCATATTCAACATTTAAATGCAGCAGGATCTTACTCTGTCAAGGTGGCGGCCAATTCTTTAGCAGCTTAGGTGGAGGGGAGGCCTGGGGCTCACTGGCTCGGAGGGGCAGGGGAGGGAGTACTGAAACAAAGGGAAAGCGAGCCCGACACTGGCTCAGCACCCTCGCTGGGCGGGACTGGTGTTTAAAAGACACTTTTTGTAGCACACAACCCCTCCCATAAGCCAAGGACGCTACATGGAAAAATGCTCACATTTAGCAAGCAGTGTGGTGTCTACTGCTAACACGGGACTTTCTTGGGTGTTTGTTAAAGGTAATTCTGACAGCACCCTAGATCTTTAGTTTATCTACTGATTCAGAACCTTGCCTTTGCAAAGATGGAAGTCAACTGAATTACTCCCTTTTTCAGCTTTGGCCTCTTTCTAAGCCAACTTTTTTTTCCTTCCAGCTTTAATGCACATGGAGATTGCAAAACTTGACGTCTCCCGAGTCACTGCCTTCTTGGCACTCTGGTCATCACAGTGGAGCTCCTGCACTATCATCCTGCCTGATTTAGGCAGTGTCAGGCAGAGTAATTGTCCTTCTCCCTCCCACCCAGTGCTACTGTTCAGGGGAGCCTGGAATCCAAACTCATAATCCTTGAAATGCCATCATTTCACAGCCAGAAGGGCTCTTTCGCATGTCACAGTTACACTCTTTGGGGTCTGCCTGACTAACAGGACAGAGAAAACCCACACCTGCCTGAACAGAGAGATGCAGAGAGGGTGGGAAGGGTAGGAAATAAGGCTGGATCTGGGAAAAGGACTGGAAACCAGAAAGGTACAAACAACAAAATGTCACGATGGAACGCAGGCCACTCCTGGTCTTCAAGAAGCCCGAAATTCAGGCACAAAAGGAAAACGAAACAAATGATCTGAATAGTCTGTGAACCCAAACAAAAAATCACACCAGTAAAGGAGTCAATGTACTTTTGAAACCAGTTATATCCTGTTGCAGCGGGTATATTGGGAGGCAAGGACACTTGGAGAACACGGAGGGCAGCCAGCCTCCCCCTCCAAGTCCATAAACATCTGAAGGAAGAAAACAGCACATGCCGGGCTCAAAAGTGAGTGAGACTCGGGAACCAGGCAGTGCCACTGGTGCTGCAGCTTCTCAGCAGAGGCAGAGCAAAGGCTGGGCAGAGGGCTCTGCGTAGATCATCCCATGCTTACTCCAGACATGCTGTACCTGACCCCAAGAGCTCCAGGTTCCTGTAGGCGAGGTGTCCAGCCTGGGAAGTGAGCAAGGTGAGTTATTTGGCACATGCAGGATGGATCCTGCTGGCTACTGGAAGAGATGTACAAGGGGCTGGACCAGCAATGGAGAATCAAGAGCATGGTGGCTCCTGTAAAGAAACATGCAGTCCAGCCTTCGGATTTTACAGAGGAGAGAAGAGGCCTGAAAGTGAGTTAAGGACGGCCTTGAAGTCTCAGCTAGTTGGTGGCCATGAAAAATAAATGATCTTGGGCAATGTTTCCATTCTTTAGGATGTTTCCTAGGAAACAATACTCAGGATTTTATTAAGGCAGTTACAACCTAGTTGAAAGGGCAAAACTTACACTGATGAGACATTGAAACAACTGTGCTCTATGATGACAGATTTAAGAGGAAATCCACAGAAGCTAAGTAAAGGAAAAATCAGAGCATTGCTGCAACTGGGTGTGTAAAGGTAGTGAGCTGCCAGGGGAGTTGGTTGTTACAGTGTCTCCTCTACCACTTCCTCCTCTACTCACACCCCAGGGGATGCTAAGCTACCTAAGGCTGCAGGAGGCTTACTTCCTGTTTACCCTATTGGCTTGTTTTTTTCAATTATCCGCTCAACATTTATCAGGACCCAAAAGGAACAGCCCTCTGGGTTGGGTGAAAAATTGTCCCCACTCTCAAACTCTAGCCTAGGGAAGCTGGCTACTAAATCATGGGGAGATAGGGCCATGGGAGGCCCTTACCAACACCTGCCTGGGAGGAACAGTGTCACCAAGAAATGTCAGCAGAGCTGAAGATGGCCAGGTGAGGGGCACAGCAAGTGCTAAGGCTGCAAAAGAAAGAGCTGGAAAAGTTCTAGCTGTGAGAAGGGCTAAAGAGCACTTGGGAGCCCCAGGATCTTTTTCCCTCTCTTGCCCCGGACAGGACAGGGGCTCCTAGGTTTCCTGCAACTTAGAAAGCTGTGGATGTTGCTCCACTGACATGGATAGTGCTTCCAGTGGGTCCACTTCCCACATCCCTTTTCTTTGTGGTACCTCTGCCCAGCATTGTGTTCCCCCGATCCCGACCCTGGAGCTGATACACACAAAGAGCAGGCATTTAACTTGCTGGCTGGTTACAGGGAATGTGGTCACAGGTTTTCCCATGGTCAATGCCAAACTCTTGCATACAAGGCCTTTTTCTCATTTACATGTGGTGACTACTGCTGTTAAAATGGATCCCACAGAAGGAAACTGTAGGGATGTCTGAGGGATAAAGACAACATATTCAAAAAGAGGACCCCACAATCTAAGGAAAACGAACCCATGGAGAATAATTTAGCTATCATGTTACCTCTCGGGCTCAGCCTGCACAGGGTTCCCTTGAACGTTCCACCACCTTGATGTCCCTCCCAGGAGGGTTGAAGAAGGTGCCCTATCCCAAGTAAACTGCCTGGAGGCTGGAGAAAGTGCAGACCCAGCCAGCAGAAGGTGCCTGCCCATCCTCGCCCCGTGGAGTGGGGGCACGGACAAATCGGTAGAATCTCAGTCACAGTAAGGAGGTAAACTCAGTCATATTCAGCCACAGGCAGCGCCTAAATTCTCAAAGCTGTCCTCTGATTTGAGAAGCAAAAGCTCTCAATTTTTCTTGGAACTGACCTTAAATGCTGGTCACAAAGTCCATTAGCCAAGGTTATCTCTGGCAGGAACAAATAAGCAAAAGCAGAGCTGTGTCCAAACAGTGACACTAGGGAACAAGCCACCTGCTTCCTAATCTAAGTAATTTAGGACCTGGGTGCTGGTCGAGGTGCTCCTGAGTTGGCAGAGTGGGTGCAGGCTCAGCCCATGCCCAAACCTCTGCTGCTCAAACCCCAGCTGTCTTCTTCCCAGAGTCCTTTGAGGCTGAGAGCTGGGTCCCAGGACACCCAAATGACTCAGTTTGAGAACCAGGTGCTCTCTGGGCACCACCAGAATGCCCATGGCAACTCTTAGGACCAGGGCTGCAGATGCCACACTGCCCCAGATCATTCTCAGAAGCAGTCCAGCCTGACACAGGAAGCCAGAGCTACAGGAACAGCTCTATATCCGCAACGAGTCATGCCTTGGTACGGCAGTGGTGGAAAGTCACAGAGCCACAGCTATAATATTCCTGTATCAGTCAAAAGAAGAAAAATGACAGACGCAGGGCAAGAGGCTGGGACTGAACTGGGACTGCCTCAGACACCAAAGGAAATAGGCAAAAATCACTTTACAAATTGCTTTTCACAGAGCTGGCGGACAGTCACCTCCACTAAGCTATACGGAACAAAACATAAAACTTGCAAAAATATATCTTCTTAAAGGGTAAGAAACTCTGAAACAGCAAAAGCCAATGTGAGAGCCTAACTACACAAGTATAACAGCAACTGAGGGTATGGTATCAATTCAGTTTTCAGGGTCCAGATGAGATTGGCACAAAACAGCACGGCCCACAACCACGCTATTAACTGTAGGTTATTTCAGGGTTTTTCCAGTAAACCTTTTCCTATTCCTATTGGTGCATTCAGCTCCTCCCCCATGGAGAGCAGGATTACCTTTGCATAACAACTTCAATCAAAAGTTCTAAACACTGGAGCGCTTTTAGAACTTTCCAGACAATAGCAGCTTTGCTTCATTGTCTTTGGCAGTAATTCACTTCCTTAAGGATTAAAGATTCTGCCTCTAGCTGTGCAACTTTGTCCCAGGAAATATGAAATATCACTTCATTAGAACAAGGACATGATTATTGTTTAATTTAAAACACAGCTGTCATAGTTTGTCCTAATTAAGATCTGAAAAATTAGGGGACTGCATTATTGTGGAAACTGTCATTCCTATTTTAAATTCATCCTAATTCTCGGTAAAGTAATAAATACCAATGACACAAAAATAAGGAACTAACATGGAAAGCAACAGATTCCAAACATATCCCAACCACCACTCTTTAGGCAAATCTCTTTTTTTCTCTCAGTTACTTCTCCTTAGCTCTACACTGTTTATTTCTTGTTCTATCATCTTTAGGCAATAACTGCTGGCCCCATAATATGGAAAAGGAAGAACTATTTGTCACTTTCCAATCTACACTTAATAACTATGTTTTCCTTTGTTCTATTTGCCACTTTAAGTTTTAAATAACTGAGTATCTTATTTCCCCTTTGACACTGGACGAAAGGTCAGTTCTTCGGTTGATGAGATAAAACTGTCAACATTTTGACCTTCTCTCCTACACTTTTCTCAATTTCTCCAAGTGCTACCATACCGCGTGTCGGCTCCCTTTTTACTGTTAGATATTATCACTTATATTTTGTTTTATAACTTATCCTCTATTTTTAGAGTCAGATAAATAAATATTCAATGTTGCACCAAATGGTATAAGATGCTTTTGACTAAGAAAATTGTTTCTAGTGTCAACCAAACACACTTGGTTTTCTTCCATTCCACCAGTCACTTGGTGTGCTTTACAGCTGGACCGTGACTCCCACTTTTCTTGGCTTTTCTCACTGCCTTCCTTCTCCTGTGCCCTTATTGGAGACTTGAACTACTCAGTGCTCTATCATGCCTTGTATTAAACGAAGACCCTGACTGCTCAGACGTCCCTCTTGGAGCCCTGGACTTCCCGCTACTCCTCTCACCAGCTGTAAACATAGCCAGGCTAGACTCCCCTTCCCTGCTAGGCTGGGTTTGCCTTGACTTGGGAGCCATGCTTCCTCTTGTTGGAGGTTTG